AATATTTAGGTATAAAGGATATAGTAGTAGTAAAAGTTTTCCTTTAAAATAACCTTTTTAAAGCTGCAGTAAGATAAAAATATAAGAGAGATATACTTAGGCTATTAAAGTATATAAGTATTTTTAAAATTCTTATTTTAAATTTTAATTTAAAGTCTTATTAGGATAATATTATTAAGCTTAAAGCTGCTAATACCTATATATTTATACTATATTTTAAGCTTCTTCTTCCTTTACTTTTTAATATATATTATAGTAAATAGCTATTTTTAATATTAAATATAGTAAAGATTATTTAAAATATATTATCTGCTTTTAATTACTTAAAGGCGCAGAATATTATTTATTATAATATTAAACTATTAAATATTACCTATTTTTTAATATAAAATATAATACTATTTAACTTTAGGTTATTATTTACTTTAATTTATAATAAAACTTATAAAATATATAAGTATTTACTTTTAAAGATATTTAAAAATATCTTATATAATTTTTTAAAAGATATTTAGGCTTTTAGTATTATAATGCTTTTTATTTATAAATATATTAATAAACTAGAAGTTTTAGTAAATAAGGCATTTTTACTAAAGTTAAAAAAGTATATAAAAAAATTAAAGCTAAAGTTAATATATTATGCTTATAGCATATAGTAAAAGAAGTATTTTTTTTTATATTTAAAAAAGCTAGAGGTTAAGATAGTTAAGGTAAATTAGGAATTTAGGCTTTATTTACTAATAATTAGTATACTTTATAAAAATATTAAAGTATAAGTAAAAGCAGTAAGTTTATTATTAGCAGCTTAAGATTTACTAAACTTATTTATATTTTAAAATATTATGCTTTATATTTATATCTCTACCTTATTAATATAGACTTTACTTATTAATCTTAATTATATAGTATATTAAATAAAGAGATAAATAATAAAATAATCTAGCTTAATTTTAATTAAACCTTACTTTAATTTTATATTTAAATAATATAACTAAAACCTATTCTTTAAATAAGCTGCTATACCTAGCCCTGCTAAAATAATAACTATATCCTTAAGATTTTTAAGACCTAAAATCTATTTTTTAAATAAGCTGCTGCACCTAGCCTTATTAAGATAATAACTATATCTTTAAGATCTTTAAGACTTAAAACCTATCCTTTAAATAAGCTACTGCACTTAGCCCTGCTAAGATAATAACTATATCCTTAAGATCTTTAAGACCTAAAACCTATTCTTTAAATAAGCTGCTGCACCTAGCCTTACTAGAATAATAACTATATCCTTAAAATCTCTAAGACCTAAAACCTATCTTTTAAATAAGCTACTATACCTAGCCTTACTAAGATAATAACTATATTCTTAGAATTTTTAAGACTTAAAACCTATCCTTTAAATAAGCTACTATATTTAGCCCTGCTAGAATAATAATTATATCTTTAGGATCTTTAAGAATTAAAACCTATTAAATAAGCTACTACACTTAAAAAATAACTACTTAAAAATACTAAGGGAAATAAAAAACAGTAATGCTTTTATAAAGTGCATAGCTTACTTAAATAATCTAGTTCTTAAAATATATATTATCCCTTTCTCCTTATAGACCTAGTATTTATATTTTTAAAAGATTATAATATTATAAAGACTTAGGATATATTTCTTATCTTTTATTAGCTATATTTAAAATAAAGGCTATTTTTAATTTTAGTAACTTTCTTATTTATAACTTATTTAATAAAAAAAGATATATTAAAATTTAATATATAAGAGGTAAGATGCCTTAATTTTTAATACTTCTGTTTATAATTATTATTATAAATATTATTATTATAAATTTTATTATTATCTCTAAATCTCTTTTTAAAAGGTCTTTAATATATAGTTAGTAAAGGTAAGAAATAATAGTTAGTAAATATTAATTTAAGTATAAAAGAACTTTAAAACTATTAACGCTTATTAATATAATTATACTTAGTATTATTATTATATTTAAGTCCTTTTTTAAATGCTTTTTAATATATAGCTAGTAGGGGTAGGGAATAGCAGTTAGTTAATATTAGCTTAAGTAAAAAAGAACTTTTAAGCTTTTAATACTTATAAGTAAGACTTTAATAACTATAATTAAAAGTAGTATTTATATTTTTTATAGTTCTTTTAGTTAAACTATATAGTGTAAATATAGATAATATATAATCTAATGCTTAATATTTATTAAGACTATTACTAAATATAACTTTTTTATTAAAGAAGTAAAGCTAGTTAGTCTAAATATATATTTATTAAAAGGGATATAGCATTAAATATAAACTAACTGCTTTCTTAAAGTAACTATCTTTAGCTTATTTTTATTAGTTATAACACTATTAACTATAGGCTTTATTTATTAATTATAATAAATAGTATTTATATATTATATAAGGTTAATATTAATATCCTTAAGTTATATTATTAAATAACACTTATAAGTATTTAGTTATAGTTTGTAGTTATTATAATAATCTAGCTTTTAATTACAGTTTTAATAAAAAAGTAATTATATTAACCTGCAGTCCTTATAAAAACTTAGGTAAATATTATCCCCTTTTTAAACTAGAATATTTATATTAAGTGCTAAGCTTTTAACTTTATTAGCTTTTTAATTAAAAACAGTACCTTTTAAAAAGTATATAAAAGACTTAAAGGTACTATAGTATGCTTTTATTATTATATTCCTAGTATCTTTATATAAAAAGATCTTATAGTTATAAATTATTTTTAAATATACTTTTTATACTAAGTTATAGCATTTCTTAAGCTTTTTTTTATTCTCTTTTTTAAAGAGTTACTTAAATTCTTCTTTACTTTTTATATATTTTATAAAGTTAATTACCTTAAATAAATATTATTTATAATAAAAGATAGGGATTAAGAAAGTATTAAAATAGTTTTAATACTATTTAAAAAGAATATTATAGCCTTATATATTAAGTTTAATAATTTAGTTTTATAAAGCAGTTAAACTATAAGTAAGTAATAAAGTATAAAATATATATAAATATATTATATATCCTTACTTAGCTTTTAATATATAGTTATAATTATAGTTATAAAAGTAATAGTAATAGTTATTATAAAGTTAGTTATTATAATTATTAAGGATATATATTAATAAGGTAAAAAAGCTATAAAAAAAGAGAAAATAAATACTAGTAAGTAATATAAAAATATTATATAAAGTATAAGAAAGGCATAGTATTATATATAACTTTACCTTATATAAAGTAAGTAATAGCAGTACTAGTATTAAAAATAACTTAGTTTTAAGTAAAGGGGGGTGAAATTATTAAGGTAATATTTAAGGGCTTAATAAAAAATAAACTTAGCCTAGTTTTACTAGCACTATTAGTAGTATATTTAATTAAAGTAAAATAGTAGTAACTACCTTAATATAAGGTTAGTTAATTACTAGAAATAGAAGCATATAACCCTAGATCTAGATCCCCTAGCTATTAAAAATAGCAGATAATACACTTAAGAGAAGTGCTTAACAGGACCCTAAGTTTTCTACTACCTATAGTTGTATGTGGTGGTAAGGGCATTATGATGCGCTTGTGAAAGGATTCGCGGAGGGAGATGTGGACAAAATAATTAGGGATCCGACCAAATTCGAGCACCCAACAGTCAGATTATAAGCAGACATAAGCGAAGCTCATAACCCGGCCATTGCCCGTGTATATTGTTAAATCAATGCATTTGGGTGAATAAGTGTTCTCATTTTTCTGGCTGCTCATGGTCTGATGGGGGTCAATTAGCGACCCATTACCATGAGTACATGCATGTGATCTCGTCTGTCTAGCATTCTTTAAGAGAATCAAGTATCTCAATCCTTGTTATTTGGCCATAAGAGCCATTTCTAATTCTTATTAGTTAGCCAAAGCCCCTATAGCTGCTGATTCATACGCAGATACGCCCAACCCCTGACTTGACGAGGTTGCATAGTGATTCATATAACGGGCGATAGTACACTTCTTGCTGCTAGGTTATTACCTACATGTCATCACATATCTCTACTGATCGTCCTCATGATGGCTAAGGGTTCATGGTGGGTAAGCGGTTAAGACGGTACAGCGTGTGTCATAACCCTCTACACCATCCGACATAGAGATCATACCAACATGGTGAAGAGCGTGTATCCTACTCCACGGCAATCCAGCAGAAGCCCACCTTGGTCATTACCGTGTCTCCCCACGTCCCTCCGTGCCAACGTAGCTTGTCCTTGGTCGCCCACTCGTGCTTCCCAAAGATGGGTAGAGGAATAGGGCTGTTGGGATCGACCGGGAAATCAATGCAGTTGATGCCAGTAAACACCTTGGGGTCCTTGCCGAAGCTGCCGCCGTACCAGCCGGTCTCCTGGGGGTCCCGGTCCCTGCTGAACATGGAGTTTCCAGCCTTGATCGACTTGCCGTCACACTCGGCGGGCCATGCCAGCCACGCCACACGCGCCGCTTCAAACTCGCTGTTGTCCCAGGTGTCAATGTGCACCGTCATGCCGTCCGCCGTGATGTCGTCGACGTAGGTCCGGAGGTACCGCCGGGTGCGCGGTTGCGAAATTTCGGTGAACCACACAAAGACTTTGGGCGGCTCCCTGAAGGGCTTGCTGAACTTGACCCCGAGCCTTGCGTTCTGGTTTGCCGCGCGGCCGCCGGGGTTGTCGCTGGCGTCGACATAGCCATGCTGGAAGGGAATCGTGCCGTGTGGAAGGACCATGACGCTGGCCTCGAGATTCTGTGTCCCATGCAAGAAGGACTTGGCCGACAAGGTGTATCCCGTCTCCGAGACAGACGGAAGGCTGAGGGCGACACGGGGAGAGTTGGTACCAGCAACGTCAATGAGACGGAAGCCGTAGATGACTGTCGGGACAATGGGCAAGGGCCTGGCGAAGGTGTCCTCGAATATGGCACTCCGGCCAACTGCGGTCCCTTGCCACCCTCGATGCTCGCGGCCACTCCAGTAGCGAGCCTCCACGTTGGTCCTGATAGTAGATGTGTCGGTCGGTTCCTCCACTGGAATGCCTACCGTGGCAGCGGTACTCTACAAAGCAATCAGAGTCAGTACACAAGCCATAGTAGACACAATACGGCACTGATAACGAACCTCTTTGTTGCCCCAAATTGGGGCCAGACGGAAGATGCCACTCTGGGAGTTGATTTGCGGTGTTGTGGTGCCGTAACCCCAGAACCCCTTGATCTGAGCATTGACGAGCAGAGGGTCAAAGTGCTTCAAGTCGAGTTGCTCAAATTGTCGGTTGTCACGGATTCCTTCTCCATTCACGGCAGGCTTCCAGTCCTCCGAGTTGCCCAACAGGTCCGGTCCACGATTGGTGTACAGCCGAAGAGCAGTAACACGGGTCGGGGCCTTGTCCACGTCCTTGCGACGGCCCGTCTCGATCGAGCAGGCAATAATCTTTTCGCCATCTTCATGGTGCACCGTCAGTGTACTTCTGCGGCCGCCGGAGGTTCCTACGGCAGCTAAAAGGCCGTTGGTGTATCGGACGCTGAGACCGATGACCACGCCGTCGTTGACGTCGACCGTGACGGTGCGCAAGCTGAAATCAGCCTTGACAAAATCCAAGTTGCAAAAGAGCGTGCCTTGGGGCGAGCCGACCATGGGCGCCAGCTTCTGGAACTTGCCAACCTCAGGCTGCTCTACACCATAGCTGGCAGCCTTGGCGGCCTCGGCCTCGCTCACGCCGTCGCCGTCAACACGGTCAAGCAAGGGGCAAGGGGCTTCGGTTCCGAAAATCTCGGGATACGGCACCTTCTCTTTGTCCTTGACACCGGGAAGCCGCTCGCGAAAGATGATGGTGCTCTGGATGGCCTCTGGACGTTTTTCATCGGCGGCATAGTCTGGATGCTCCTCGATCGCATCGACTTCCTTGACAATCTTGACCATCTGAAACCGGCAAGCCCGGCGAGCTAGGTCAAGCCCCTTGATGGTCGCTTTAAAGGGCTTTTCGTCGTCGATGAGAGAGAGCGTGGTCGAATCGGCATAGTCTTTCACTTGATCAGACCAATCTACAAATTTCTTTGTGCCAGCCTGGATATCAAAAAGTTGGGTTCCAAGGGTGCGGTAAATCTGCTCAAGTCAGCCGACTGAATAAAGCTTCCTTCAGATGGTGGGGGCAAGACGATTACATTCTTGTAGTCCATATAGGCGTCCAGCAGCGCATTCGTATAAATGGCTGCGTTTTCGTAGAACATTGGCTTTAGTTTTGGTGGCTTCAGGGCCATGTAGCTCCGAAGCGACTCATACTTGGTGAGAATGGCACTGGGGACAATGGTTAGCCAGCCATTCGTTGGTGATTAAAACAGCCCAGCAAACTCACTATGTACGCTGAGGAGTGTTTGCCACGAGATCAGGGAACTTGGCAGCCGTTTCCATCAAGCTTTGAATCGTCCAAAGCTGGTCCACTGCAAGCTATTAACACATTGGACAAGGAGGCCGAGAAGGATGAGTTATACCTGGCTTGATGTGGCCGCCGCCTGACCAGCCAACCTGAATGGTCGTCTCCGTCTGCGACGAGAAGCTTGACTTGGCCATGTCGACGTTGGCCTTGGCTTTGATGTCGGCAGCACCAACGCTCAAAGCGACTTCTGCTCTATGCAGGATCAATTAGCTATAAGCCCGTACAGCAAGTTGTTGGTGAAGACGGATGAGAGGATGCTTTACTCCGCCATGATAGCCATGCGCTTGTCCTTGTTGACAACCTTCATGCTCACAAGAGCATTGAATTCGCCGCCCTCTAAGAAGCCCGATATGAAGCAGTCGCCAAAGACCGACCGGAAGTTGGTTTCGTTCACCGAGGGCAGGCCCTGGAAAACAAGGGCATCCTTGATGTTGATGCTCTGGTTGACGACCTTGACGGAGATGAAGAAGTTGAGATCGCTCTCCTTGAACTTGTCTGAGTCGATAAAGGAGCCTTTGCCGGAGCCGCCAATGGCGCCGTACTTGATTGAAAGAGATCCAGAAATGTTCATATCGTCCGTGATTTCACTGCTTAAGTCAGCTGTGTCCAAACACGCAAGTTCAATAAGCAAAGCCATGGTCTACCTGATTTTGTTCACAAAGCGTGAACTGTACGAGACAATCTGGCTCGGACCACGCCTCGACAACTCTCGCGCGGCACCGCGAGGGTTTTTACTCTTGAGGCCAGTTCCATTCGTCTTGAGACGGGCAAGGCGCATTCTCTTCTTCTCAAGAAGCAGTGCATCTCTCTTTGACTCCGCACTGTCGGGATCAACCGCTTCTTCAATGGCAGTCTCAAGTCTGGCAATGTCTTCGACAAGCTTGGCCACTGTTTTCACGTCTTGACTCAACTGAAGCGCCATGCTGTCGAGTGGTGTAGGAGGGGCAGGCCCTATCAAGGGCGGTGTTTGTCCATTGGAGGTATCAGTCCCCGTAAAGGTGGCTGGTGTTGGTATCGCTTTTGTTAGTTGTGGTTGAGGCTGAAGGCCGCCCTCATCCTCATCCTCATCATCTTCATCTTCGTCCTCATCATCCCTCAGTCCGCTGAGGGCACGGGCCGCTTTTGCGCGCGCACCAATGCCGTACCGAAGCTCTCGCATGGTGAAGCCATCGTTGGTAACCGCATTGTCGATGCGATCGGGATCGATGACAACGGCGTCGTCAATGCAGATTTGCTGTGTGTACGAATTGAAGCTGAGCCTGTTAGATCCTTCACCAACTTTTGAGAGTCCTGTTACACAGCCTACCCTTGGCCTATATTGTGTTAGTGGTCCACCTCAGATAGGCTTCCAATCATTGTACAATTGACGTACCAAGGCGCATGCCATTGTTGTAAGGCGCGAGGTTCAGAGACATGATGGCACTACACCAACGATGCACCTTCGGAGTCAAAAGGAGCAGTTCCTGAAGCTCAAGGCCAATGTAATACAACAACTACCTGAGATTATGGAATGAAGGACTGTGCTCTATCTTTTCAACTCGACTTCCCGCTGGACCCTCCGTGGCGATCTTATTACCTGTCTTCGTTGTGATGCTCTAATAACACATCGGACGGAGTATGCCACTATTGTCAATATTGACAGGGGTGTCGGGCAAGCAGCTGGCCAGACTTCGGTCCCGAGCCATGATCGAAGCCCCCATGGCCTCTGTAAAGTCTTCCTACATGTGCAATTGGTTCGAACTCTTTGCAGAATGTCAGCTCAAGACAGGTAGGATGTAGTTCTAGTCGTAGTAACCGGTGAACATGAGCTAATGAGGTCGACGATCTGCAACAGCTGAATCAGTCTTTGCCACAAGCGACCAGTTGCGTCCCGAAAGTGGCTTCGTAAGTGACATGTTAGCCCGCTCGAACAATCCAGACGCCAGCAAACACATGGCACCAGGGCTGGCTGAGCGCCTTCAGCTGGCTTCAGATCCCGGCCCCTCCAGTCTAGAACGCAGCCACGGCGGTTGGGGACAGGGGAGTGAGCGTGGGGATACGGAAGTCTGCAAGACGCCCGAGCCGCGAAATGCTCCGGCGTTGCGATCTCCGGGCCACTCCATGTTCTCACAGCACTTCATGACTCTTGCGCCTCCCCACTCGCGTTCGGCAGAACCAACACCATGAGCAGCCATCGCCATGCCCGTCTTTGGAATCAACCAAGTCAGCAAGCTGGCTCCTCTGACGGCTGATACCCTCGACCCAGATGTGTTCAACCCGCTCATCCCCTGCGTGGCCCAGCAAGCAATCACCCGGTCACCAATCCGTCTCCCATGGCAAGCTCGCGTTCTCCCCTTGGGAATGTTCTTCCGATCAGCCGCCACGGCCAATGGCAAGAATCCATTCGCCATGCAGTCGGCATTCGACACAGACTCTCTTGTCTCGGCGCCGATACAGTTCACGGCAGATGATGCCAGTGGCAGCTTCAGGTCTTCAGAAGTAATGAGCTCGTCCGCATCAACAGACCACCTCAGCGTTGGCGCCGGCGTTGGTGTCGATCTGCCCTTTCTCGAAGCCAGCGTCTCGGTACAGTTTGACAAGGACGTCATGGAAAACAGGGACTCAAACAAGGCCTCGATCACCACGAGCTACCGCGCCGGCACGGTGGCCTTTGTGCGTCCGCCAGAACTCTCGGCAGATGCCTTTGATGTGCTGCGTCGCAAGGGCATTGATGGGTTTCACGCCATCTATGGTGATTTCTACGTGGGTGGCTACAGGATCGGGGGCGATGCCTCGGTCCTCTTCAGCACCGATGTGAGCTCCCGTAGTGTGACGGAGACAAAAAGGGTCAAAATCGATGTGGAATCATGGTTTGGTGACTACCATGAGCAGTCGGCAACAAGGTCATTCAGAACGGAGCGCTCGAGAGTAGTCCGTGTAAGTGCCTACTCGACGATTGAGCAAGCTCTCATCTCAGAGGCGGTTCAGATGGACACGCCCGAGTTCCAGGCTGCCATCGAGAAAGGCAGAGGCATATACCAACGCGCTAAAGGACTGGATGACTCCATCACCAAGGTTCTCAAGGACATCGGGGTGAGCAAGGGCAGGCTGGTGACTCGGGAGCAGTGCGCGCAGCTGTGTTCACGAGCGGTTGTTGTCGAGCTTTTGCTGGTGCCGGTGGAATGTTTGCGTCAGGTTCGCTATTGGACAATTGCACTGTAAGGCCTGTATCTTCAAGGGCTGTAATACTTTATTGCGTCTTTGCCCTCCATAGCCAGGCGAATAATATCCTGAGGCGATGCAAAGGTTTAGTATTCAGTGAGCTGGAACAATGTCTGAGCAAAGAGACAACAAGAGCGAATGGCTTGAACCGCTAAGCAAACCGGCTAAGAGGCTTGCAGAGAATATATAGCTAACAATGCGATGACTATGTAGAATGTTCAAGGTGCGAGGCGATCTTCTACGATCAGGACATTATCCTTGAGCAGCACATATCAATTACCTAGGTACTGGTGCTGACTTGAGCAACACAATGCTCAGAGAGAGGTACATGGTTGTGAACCACGATGGTATTTGCCACAATACCTTTCCATTTCTCTGCCTTGATCTGCAATACCTCTTAAGGTACTGAAGACTTCCGGACAGAACAATGTATGAGGAGGGAACACTCAAACTTGGGCTTTGAAGACTCTTCAATTTCGGTATATTGAGTAGTTAATTGGCATGGTGGTATTGGGTGGCCTCCGCTTTCAGGAGTTCGCGTCAGTATCTTGGTGAAGCCTCAATCTACTTCCGACATTCTCGACACTCAGAGATTCAGGCCCTGAATGAGTGGTCTCTGTGTGTTTTTGGGGCGACATGCCGGATCAAGCTCTTACCACTAGGAGGAAAATGCCATCCCAGCCCGGAAACTAACGCTTGATGCCTGCCCGGGCCGACGCGAGAGCGCCACCCCAAGTCTAGTCCGGGCTGATGGCCGCGCTATTGACAATAGCCTACTCCTGAGGCTGGCTGGGAAGTCCCCTTGCATGAGGTCTGGGCCACTGAAGGCCTCTTAGTTCAGCCGTAGACTCAGGGGGAGAATGTCTCTTCAATTGCAAACCGGCCTCACATCACCGTGATGATTTGCTGCAAGACCAAGTATTGATGAATACAATAATCCTCGACACCTCCATCCGCTACTTTTTGGCGTCAAGGTTGATGTCTGACAATAGCCAAGCTATAGTCCATCATCATGAACGGGAGTGCATATGCCGGCCTGAATCCGTATTCCCAAAAACAAGGATCTCAACTGCCAAGAGATCTTTTGATGTAAGTTCTTGGAAGCTTGCCGAGCTGATGTCTAGGTTGACAGAAGTAATTTGGTAGCCCAGAGAAATTCGATGGCATACATATATCTCAGAACAGCAAATCTTCTGGCAAGGCTGCGAGCAACCTCTTTCCGCATAACAAAGATGGGACACAGATTGTCAACAGCGGTATTACGCCGTGAGTTAACACATGTAAAGCTGAAAAGCACCCAAGGTCGTCTGTCAACGCTTACAAGACATCGAGGTTTCACAGTACGGCCAATTCTTCCCCTTGGAAAGTCATCAACTACCAGATTCCAGTACCTATCGGCGACTGCTCCGCGCACTTTCTGGTCGATATCAATTCGAACAAGGTGCGCAGGGCGTTTCTTATGGATGGCGGCACAAACGCTGGCACCTACGTCGCTTGGGTTCAGATCCTCAAAGCCCTTCGCTTCATCGATCTACAGCTGGGCAATGACTGGAAGTTTGACTCATGGGTCGTCACGCACTGGGATGCGGACCACTACAGCGGTGTCAAGGATCTGCTTCTCAACGAGGGCATCAAGTTTACGCGCTGTAGCGGCGCTGGGAATTACGTCACCCGGGGAATGTCAGGAAGCTTTGCGTCTCTTTACTTTGCAGAAGATGCTTGGCTATGTTGCGGCGCATGGGACGTGGAAGCCATGTTCGTGAGAGGAGACGGCTTCTTGCGCCACTTCGTGAGGCAAGACAATCTGCACCTCTGGGGCAGCTTGTCAATGACGATACCGGCCAGACCGGTTGGAACTGAAGCAAAGTCGCTGCTGAGGTGCATATGGGGTGAGAAGCTCATAGGTCTGGACCTTTTTACTCGCTCTTACCAGTACCATAGCGGAACGGGAGAAGAGTATGAGTATACGGAGCACCTATTTGAATTTGAACGTCGGCTGGAATCCGACCACCATGCGGTAGCTGCCAAGAACACACCGCGTTTCTGCGTAGTGGGAGCAAACGGGTACGGAATTGGGCAGTCGACTCCCTTTAAGAAGGAAAAACCGTCAAAGAACGAGACGTCCATCCTTGCTCTCCTCTATTGGAAGCGCCAGAACCTATGTTCGTACTACACGGGCGGAGATGGAAATCCAGGAGTCTTCAAAGAAATTGTCAGGCCTTGGCTCGACAAGACTTGGCCCGACTGCGACGTGGAAATGGTCAAGCTGGATCACCATGGCTCAACAAGGGAAAACCTTGGGGGGTCACACCTCTCAAAAACCAAGTTCAAGAGCGAATCTGAAGAAGAGAACCAACAGTCGAAGTCGAAGTCGAAGTCGAGGAAGGAGGAACAAGAGGGGCCGCGAACGGACTCAGAAACCATACGCCTTATAATTAAGGATTTGAAACCTCGCAAGGTTCTCGTTACGCCGGGAACCCTCCACGGCCATCCCAGTGAGCTCTTTCCACCGCCCCTTGATGAAGGCATAGTGCAGCTAACAATGGGGCGTTTCTTCCACAGCCTGGGACGTTATAATCTTTCTTAGAGCCTATTTCGAAGAGTTGTCTGGCGCCAGAGGTAACCCGAGTGCGATGATACAAGGGTTGTTCACAACTCGCGCAGTGTACTGGCTCATCAAAGGAGAAGTATCTCTGAAGGACATCAACCAGAATCATCTACTTGGAGAAGCTTTTGAAAAGCGAGGGCGATCTGTTACTGGAGGTGGCTTCAATAAGATGATAGCAGAGGATGAGCAAGCTTCGAATGACGCTGACCAAGGGGGTCCAGACAATGATGAAGACGACAATAGCAGTGATTCGGATTACGATATCTTCTTCGGTCGTGCTCGGGACCTTCAAGAGAGACAGGAGGCGCAGGGAATTCTTCAGGAAGCGAGGGGAAAATTCAACGATTTCTTGAGCGAAGGGGAGAAAGCGGCACGGCGGGGACAAAAACACGGCAAGGGCAAGACCAAGCTCGTCAGATACAAATTTTGGCTTGGTGAGGATGCCAAAAAAAGGAACTACACCGCCTTAACAAAGGCTGCGAAAAAGACAAAAGAAGACTATGATGAGGAGCAAAGACAAGTGCGTTCAAACCCCTTCACATCAGGAGGGTATTGACGATTCAACACCCGAGAGTCGCATATCGCTAACGTAGACATGACAACAGGAAGCGAGAGATGAGCTAGGTCATCTAAAGCAGGATGCGCGGAGATTGGACCGAATGACGCCAAAGAAACTCGAAGCCCTGAGAGCCGTGCTTCAAAATTACGCAACGGATGAACACGATCAGAGCTCTACCCCTGACGACGCGGTCGAAGTGCGCCTGCGGCGCGAGCTATGTGACGCAATCACAGAGGTGGCCGAGGCCGCTGACGATACCCAGCAGGAGGGATTGGAAGACTTCAGGACAATCTGCTGGCAGCCTCTGCCGGTATCTGAGAGAGATGATCCACACTTCATCATTCGATTCGAGTTCAACGGCCGGAGACAAGATACACTTGTGCAGGTCTTCGATGACAGTGGCCAATTTCGTTACGTGAAGACATCTTCGCAGGCTCACAACGGCAGCGGCCAGCATGAAGACGTGAAGGCAGCCTCCTTGACGCCTGAGAGTGGTCAGGCGGACGGACCGGTGGAGCTAGTCAAACAAAGCGAGGCGAAACCGATGGGGCTGCTCGTCGAGGACGACCAAAACCCCTGGGTCAAGTATGCATACGGCGAATGCGCCATCGCAACCATGCTATCCATTGATTCAATCGAGACTCCCGTCAAGCCAACACTGGGAGCTCGCGGGCCAAAGAACATGGTGTTTCAGTATTACGAGAAGCGAGAAGCTGATACCAAAGAAAACATCGGCGAGTTAATTAATTTGGCTCAGCTGGGAAACAAGCGTAAGAATAGGTGAGTGAAAATCTCCCATGTGAGTTGAAGCTGCATACAGGGCAATGATGAAAAAGTCTGACAGCTCTTGTACCACCAGCACCACGCAATATGGGAGGAGATCAGAGATGCGAGCCGACGTTGAGGTTGCCGTGAAAACTTTCACGAAACGGAGAGGCAACTTAAAGAAGCCTGTCAGGGGAATACTTATAGCAGAAGGAGAAGAAGAGGAAGGAGAAGAAGAAGAAGAAGAAGAAGAAGAAGAAGAAGAAGAAGAAGAAGAAGAAGAAGAAGAAGAAGAAGAAGAAGAGGGCTTAAAGAAGTCTACTAGGAGGAGGAGCAAGGCAGGAAAAAGAAAAGGGAGCTTAAAGAGGGCTGACAGGGAGAGAGGCAAGGCAGAAAAAAGAGAAAGAAACCGAAGCACTGATAAAAACGATTCCGAAGGTTTATTGAGAAAACGAGCTGCGAGAGCCCCATGTGGCAATTCTGCATCGGTTAAGAAAGTTATTGTCACGCAGGAGTTCAAAGGTCCTGTGAGCAAAAGCAAAGCAACAAAGCAACGGAAACTGAAAGCTACAAAGACCGAGAACAATCGCAAAGAAGCACAGTTGGTGACATCGGAAAGCGACACAGAATCAAGAAGAATCTCTGAAAAAATCCAGGAGAAGAAGAAGACGCAAACGGAGACGGAAAACCGAACAAAAAGGGAGTCGAAATCGCAGAAAGCTGGAAAGAAGACCAACTCGAAGGTTTCTTACTAGATAAGAAGGCAGATTAGGAGATACAGTCATGAGGATATTAGCTGCATGTCAAATGTGTTCGTTTCGCGCTTAACAATCGAAGCACGGGACTACTCGGTCTTGAACTGGAGATCCCTCATTCAGTTACGAGAGTCAGAGTCTGTAGTTCATTATGGCAACGCGATGAAGTCGTTGCACGACCATGATTTGCGGCGAACGTCATCCGCACAGTGCTCTGGGCCAACACCAATCTTCCTGTAGAGAACTTGACGGAAATTGTAGTCTTACATGACCAGCGATGGTATGCTCTGCTTTCCTTCACGGCAATTCACATATATGCTAATATGTTCTTGTTGAATAGCTACTAGCTTTCGAACTGAAGTTGCCAGTCGCAGATTGATGGGAAAGCGCCGGGGTGAGTCGTAACGTCTTCGTGATGTCGTCAACCATCACGATGCCTGATTAAAAGTCATCTTATTGTAGAATCTGCTCCCGAGGACAAAGTCGAAGTTTGTTAGCTCCTGCGATTCCCCTAGGCTGTTGGTGAAGCCGAGCACTGCTCTCCCGAGCTCCACCTCCAGGAGAATCCTCTCTTGATTTAGCTCTTGGGGTTTGCGAGGATGGCCTAGATCAATGGTGGTATGTCGACTTGCTCAGAGTTCACATTCCAGAGGATACTTCTCTTGACTAGCACAGACATGATGCGACTGTGCTGTCTAATGACTACTCCCCCCTTCAGCTTTCGCAAGCAGAGGATAGACATTTGATCGCTTCGGTTGCCGAATCCTACGCAATAATTCCTATTATCATTGACAAGCTGCTTGAGCAATTTCTCTTCGCCTACCTGCGGACCGCCTAGCCCACAAACTACCCGGGAAGACCTGATCTTCTACCAACTCCGTAACTGCCATTTAACTTCCCACGGACGCCGGCATGGTAGAAGAAGAGCGGTAAAAAGAGCGCGGGCTTTCTTTGACAAAACCGCAGAGTAAAGAGCGATGACGAAGTCTGTCGGCGAATAGGCATGGCAGAAGAAGCAGAAGATACCAAAGAAGCTAGTAGGGACGGTTTTGCAACTTCGAATGGAAGTGCTCGACTGATTGGAGATGGCGATGCTGGAGAAGGTAGACAAAGAGAGAGAGAGAGAGAGAGAGAGAGAGAGAGAGAGAGAGAGAGAGAGAGAGAGAGAGAGAGAGAGAGAGAGAGAGAGAGAGAGAGAGAGAGAAACAAAAGGAGCCCGAGAGAACTACAGCAATGAATAGGAAAAAAGCAATAGCCATTCAGACAACGAACGAAGACGAGGATGCTAGCGACGTATTTGGAAAAGAGTGCTCCCAAAAGGAGATGATATGGCCTCGAAGGCGAGGGACAGCATAAAGGAAGAAACACGCCGAGACTAGCCAACAACCTATGGGGAAAAATTAGGAGAACATCAACTGTGTATTCTTTCTACTACTCATAATGTGAGAAGGGATAATCCATTCCAATTCACCTGAATTTGTTTATCCAGCTTTAATAATATGGTCTCCTGTCTACTTTATGATCTACTGCAAGGCCCAGTGAAGTTTCTACCTCTCCCGAATTGAGCGCCAGGTTTGTTCAACAACGTGAAGCAACGATCCAGCGAATAATGACGACGATTCCTGCTGCTGACTCATAGAGATGAGCATCTCCGATTGGTGTAGTTATAGTCAAAGGCGTCCAATATCCCGATCAACTGAGTCACAGTAGCGAGGACCACCAGGATGTGAAAGAGTTGATGGGAAGCGCCGTAAATGTCGAATTTACCTGGCCATCGACACTCGGGAAACTTGGTCTATAGGATTCGAGAAGTTAGAATTGTCTCATATACATTGCAGACTTTGGAGACTTACGGCATAGACCAAAGCTCCAAGCAGAAGGAATCCTCCTTCGACCAGATAGTAGGGCATTCCCGATTGTTTCATCATCTGCGAGAAGCCAAAGATGGTAATACCATGTATCAAAGGTGCAAACCCAGACAAGCCGGTCCCTACAAACGCAAGTGTTCGGAAAGTGCGATACTTTTGGCCGTGGAACCGGGGATTTAGCATTATGAAGATGGTGAGCGACCCAAGGATTGCAATCTGCCAGCCAGAATAAGTGTTGGATACGAATCAGTGAAAGATTGGGAGTTCAGGTATTCACTCACCATAGACCAGTAAATCTTGCGTTGCAAAGGTTCACACCAAAAGACCATGTAGATTCCTGACACAAAGTCGCCCAGCGTGAGGATGACTATGCCCACCAGATCGAATCGCAGGAATAATTGTTCAACCTCGGAGGAGTGGTTTGTCAAAGTGTGGTATGTTGCCGAGAGCCCCAGGCAGACAACAGCAGTCAGAAGGAAGAAGCTGAAGATGAAGAAATCGGTGCCGGTGACATTAGAGTACCTGCTGGTGAGGTACTCTAGGATATACCACTCGCCGAGCAGGAAAGCGACTGCCGGTATAAGGTGAGAAAATATGTTGACCGATTCATTATGAATGTATGACCAGCTTTGAAAGGAGACCTTGGCCGAGCCTGAAATCGGTCGATAGCCATGGCGAATGAACTCATTGTCCTGATGCCATTCCGGCAGCTCTTCAAAGGCGAGAAGAACTTTGCGTGCTGCCTTGGTGACCCTGGAAGTGCTGTCCGCAGGCCGTGGACTGAGAAAATCATTCCCCCGCTCTTTAGGCGCCACCGGCGGCTGGGGAGACGCGAGTCGAAGACGGGCAGCAGACGCCATCGGGACTTGGAGGAGGGGGGAGGAGAATGCAGAATAAAGAAGGAGGTGTTGGGATTGTTCTGCTTCTTGCACGGCGTCCTTGTCTTTCTTGGTTTCTGCCAGACGCCAGCCTTGCTTACATGTGCCCTGCAGGAGCTGGAATGTGCACTCTCCAGTAACAAAGAAAAGGCCAAATGTCAGAGTCTCCATGTCTTCTTGTTTGCTTCGCCTGGCCCTACAGGACCCCTGAAGCTTGCGACGTCGCGTGCTGTGTGGCAGGATCCCTGTCTGTCAACCAACCACGTTGCACCGCTAACCGCCCGCAGGGGTCGGCCGCCTTACAACACCGTTGTCGGCTCATAATTCGTAGCCTGGAGATACTGCTCCGTACATCGCGTACATTAGTAGGAAAATAGACGCCTCTCATTTGTGTCGAAAGTGCTGGCAATTTTTCCTACCGAGGTACCTAGACACAAGGTACTGCCTACACTTTACCTACCTCACCATTCCCAGAGTTCGTACTCGTAGGCTTGCTTCAATGGTCGGCACCTAGGTGCCTTATCTTCAGCACGGACACACCCAACGGTATCCTGCCTGGTGCGGATACTGTACACCACACCATCCTTCGTTTCCTCTCCAAGGAAGATCCCCAGTGTCATGAGGCTCTGCTCTCTCCTAGTTTGCAGCATGTGTTCGCCCAATCGTAAAAATGCCTCATTCCTTCCTGAAGATACAAGTCTTTGCAACACAATGCAAAGACAGTGTTTCCAACTGTGTAAGCTGCGAATAGATTGTAGAAGCCCGCGGATTGCATTGCCAAGATTGCCTTGAAAAGGACTTCATGGTTGCCAGTTCATTCTACGCTCGGGCTCTTTAGTCTTCCCGAAGAGTTGGCCTACGAGACTAACAGTAGGATCAACAGATGCGAGTCTAGTTGCAACGCCCCTTAGAGATGATTGGGCGAGGTGAGGCGGAAGCGGCGTGCTTAGGGTTACTGCTAGTACCTGCCTAACAGTACGTCAGTATGGATGGTGGTTTTTAGGACGTTTAAACTCCGAAGAGGTTGTGGATACTCAATATGCGTTACAGTGACTAGTAGTGGAAGTGCTTATTCCCAGCCAGAGAGTTGACCTACTATCAAATGTCTTCACATCCAAAAGTGAAGCGTCTATACAACATCATGAGCCTCTGCCAGTGTCCCAGCCGCAGCAAGGCAATTGATCTACCTGTAAGCTTCGATTTGTTCAATAAACACCCTGGAGCTTGCATACATCCAGTGTGTGGCAGGTTGTGAAACCTTGCAGCAGAGCCGTCACATGGGCGGCCATTGCGCATAAGATGGCCACATGAAAGATCTGGTGTGAGCTTCCCCAGATGTCAAACCTCCCCGGAGCCAAACGCTCCGGAATTCGGAACTGCAGAGAGAGTATCAGCCAAAGCTTTTTACTGTCTTTTTCTTCTTATTTTTCTTTTCTTTTTTAACCGCGAACGCGTGGTGAGGATACTCTGCAAACATGCCAGACATACCGCATAAAGGCCAACTCCGGTGCCATAGAAAGAAAGCTCGACAAGATACCATTTCATCCCCGAGTACTGTAGCATGTATTCGAGTCCATATCGCTGAACTCCATGCAGCAGGGGTATGAATGACGAGGCACCAAAAACAACAAAGGCGCCCACCTTGACTTTTCGCCAGAGCGGCGTTCGCAGCAGGGGATGCGAGATGAGAACACCAGTGACGGTTCCTGTAGTTAAGATCTAGGGCTCATGTCAGTGCATCAATCGTTATCAGATTTGCCTGACCTGGGCGGCGGGGAGGGGAAGATGCGGTTACAAGGCCACGGTTGCTCGGGGAGACTCACAATGGCCCAATGTAGCTTTTGCAGTCTTGCTTCACAGAAGAAGACATAGTAGATACCGGAGGAGAATGTGCCCACTGTTACGATAACGATGCCGAGAAGATCCATTCCGTGCCAAAACATCTCTACCGGATGCGAGTGCGGTTGCATCAGGTGGTAGAGTGCGCTCAGCACCAAGCATATTTCCGCACACCCAAAGTAAACTCCAAACATGGCATAATCGATGGACGAGACGTTCAGGAACCGAGGCTCTGCCAGCAATCGTAGGAGGACAGGTGTGACAAGCGGTAAGAGCACTGCACCGATTAGATGCGTGTATACATTGCACGTTTCGTTATGAAGAAACGTCAGGCTTGTAAATATCTCCAGGTAGTCTGCCTTCTCCGGTCGATAGCCTGTGAGGATATACTTGTTGTCGAACTGCCATTCAGCAATCTCCCGCCACGTTACGGTTCGGGGGTTGTTTGTCTTTGGATGCTGTGCAGTGCCGTTCGTCGTAGTACTCATGTTGCCATTCGACACTTGTCGTTTCTTGAGTTCTGCTCCCGACATGATTCTTCTTCGCAGAGGTCTGAGCTGCGGTGGCCGACGACGAAGCCGAGGAGGAGAAGATGTTGATGAGGCCGGACGAAACCTGACGATATTTGGGCTGAAATGCGGAGCGATGGACCGGGGAATGTATCAATATTATAAAGAAGATCAGAATAGCAGAGAGTGACGCTCAACACCCCCAACAAAATGACAAAATGATTATCGACATACATCCTGGAGCGCAGAGAGATAACAGCGTTAAAGGTATTTCAGGTAGGTATAGATAGTTCAATATTACATGTACCTCATGAACTGATTGTTACCAGCGTACTCGTACACAGTAGGCACCCTCATAATTACATGCCTGCGACCACATGCAGGGAGACACATGGCCTCCACCGTTGCCGCCTCAGCTCTGAGATGGAGGGTCGGCTGCTGGGGAGCTGGGAATCTACAAGGATGGTGATTCGTTTGTTGGTTCTGGTGTCCTTGTTCCCCTGCAGGTATAAGACCTAGCAAATTAGCACAGCCCGCTGTTGAGGGGTTTCACCAACGCGATACCTGGGCAAGCTGGGGATAATTATAACAACACAATGGTATGCCTCCATGGAAGACCCAGGGCGCGACACATGCAACACATCTCACAGGCTTACATAGCTCTATGGTGCGAAGGGGTTGTCGTCGGATTCTGATACTACAGAATCGTATGAGCTAGGTGGCGATCCCGGCTTTCTACTAAAACTCCCCTTGATAGCAGCTTGGCACCGCGTCTCAGTAAAAGCTTTGGCACTACCATCCGTCGGCGTGCATACAACATCGAACCATGAGTGTGGATGATTCACAAGGCCTGCTGCAGTCTGTGCTTGGATTCTTCGTCCGAAGACGACCGGAAAAGCCAGCGCAGCCTGCGTCGTTGAGATCCCGGAGAGCCGAGGCCTGGCTACGCACAGAGGCTTTTCTGCAGCAAGAAGCCGCTGAATTTGAAGAGCCCGACCCTGAGCGCATTGCAAGAACGCTGCGCGCATTCGAAGACTATGTGCAATACAACTCTGATGGAGAATCTGATCCCGTGGGTGCTCTCCTTGAACGACAGGCTCCGGCCTTTGAGCCTTGCACTGCTAACACAAGGCTACGGAGTAGGGCTTTCGCCATGACATGCCGTATCCTAAGCTTCAGGCGATGCGCAACATGATGGAGCGTCGGAGTCATGACTCGATTCCATATCCAGGCACTACCATTCGCGTGAGTAAGCGGAAACGAGACAGCGACACTGTCATCCAGGAACTCTCGAACATGGACAGGGAGGCAAGGAAGCGCCGAGTGCTGGCTCGTGAAGAGCCCAATGCTGCCGACAATGTCGAAGAACCCGACGCTGACTTCGCGGTGCTGATGCGGAGGCATCTGGTTTCATTGGACAACGCGTTACGGAAACACTGGGTATGCGTTTGCCAGAAGTGCTCAGGGTTGAGCGTAAGGCTTTCGCTGCCGCAGCATAAGAAGGACTTCAACGCTGAGACGTCCTTCGAAGTGTTCTTTGGCGTACGGTCTCCGGTTGAGACTGCGCTGCAGGAAGCCAAGATTACAATCAAGTGAGCTTCGTGAGGCTTCGTGAGACAAGATTACCGCTGACATTCTTCCGGTAGAGACGTACAGAATAGGATGAGGAGCGCGTCTGAGCCGGCGATTAGCGGGGTGTCCGAGTTTGCACACATCTGCCAAAGCATCACAGAGTCCCTCGGTCAGCGAAATTGCTTACACTTGGCTCTTGAGGGTGGGATATTCCAGAGGCTCCGTCCGCAGCCAAAGACGTTTGGTGGTGAGCAAATGTCGCGGACAGTGTCCTTGTCGGCTCTTTTCCAGCGTCAACAGGAGCTACGCGGTAGTTCATCTGCACTCCCGCTCAAAGGGAAGCGTATCTTGGCTGTCATACTGGCTACTGCGCTGCTTCCGTTCCTGGAGACGCCGTGGCTGCAGCCTTCGTTCAACCATTCAAATATCCTATTCGTTGAGCCGTTGCAGGAGGGCGAACTCCCCGACATCACAAAGCCTTTCCTGGCCATGGAACATATTCCGATTGTCTCAGCCGGCAGGTCAGGCTCTGGGGTGAGCACTGACAGCTCCAAACACATGGTGCATCCAAATGCCACCGTGCTGGCGCTGGGTATACTCTTGTGTGAGCTTCACTACTGCACGCCTGTGCAGCTGATGGCAAAAGACCCGCACGGACCCAGGAACGTGAACTCTGACTATTATACCAGCCTTGACATGCTCAAGTCTCTGGAAGTGGACGCTGGCGTGGACTACTATCTCGCTACCAAAGCATGCCTCCAGTGGGAGTACTACCCCCCTGGACAGCAGGCTGACTTTGAATCCGTCGACGTTCAGCGGCTCTTCTACCAGAACGTTATCAAACGACTCGAGGCTGAGATATTCAAGTCGTGGGGTCTTCGAATCCAGAACCTGGGCTCGTTCGATCCTCGACAGAATGAACTCTGCTGGGGTTCCATCGGCCAAGAAGTTGTCCGCCATCAGACAGGCAAGGCCGATCACTCAGATACGAATAACGGAGCACACCCACCAATGCCGTATCGTTCTATATCTGACGCTGCGCCCGCGAGCTACTCATCCTTCCATTCCGACATGGCGCTGCGGATAGCCGGGCCGACACAGTCTTCTCCTGGATTGCAACTCCGCGGACACCCCGTGGAATCTTCCACGAAGAGCTTGTACTTTTTCGACGCAAGCCACCAGACGGGCTCTGAGCAAGAGTAATGTGTTCTGTATCAGATATAAGGCTTCCTTGTACTAATGATATGTGCAGAACTCCACTTTCACGACAATGGATGGACAGTCTTCTGTCCTCGATCTACCACCATGTTGACCCTCTCGACGCTGTCAACGCTGGGCGCGGAACGTTCGAGCCGGTGCGAATAGCGATCCTGGATTCCGGGTTTGATCCAGAGAATCCGCTGCTCATGACTGAGGACCACCAACTGGACCCGCGGATCAAGGACGCGCGAAGCTTTGTACATGGAACAGCCCAACACGAGATTCGAGACGAGATTGGGCATGGCACCCACGCTCTCGGCCTTTTGCTCAACGTTGCAACATGCGCTGAGATCTATATCGCCAGAATCGCGAATCGAGAGACTTTGGATCGCAACACTTACGATGATATTGCAAAGGTGAGCCTTTTCCCAGATCACACATTTATCTGCATTCCTCTTTGGACTGAGCTAATTGTTCATACAGGCCATCAATCACGCAGTTTCTGAGTGGAAAGTGGACATCATCTCCATGTCCTTCGGCATTCGGGAATACAACGAACCCATGAAAACAGCCATATCGAATGCACTACACAGCCAGACACTGTTGTTTGCTGCGGCGTCAAACGATGGAGCAAACCTCGGGAGGGCCTTTCCAGCTAAATACCCCAGTGTCTTTTGCATACACTCAACCGATGGAAACGGGAATCCCTCTGCATTCAACCCAACGGCAGACGACAAGGACGTCAACTTCAGTCTCCTGGGAGAGCACGTCTCTTCTCACTGGCCAACAGGCAAGAACGGCCACAATGAGCCTGTGAAAGCTATGTCGGGAACATCAGTTGCAACACCCATTGCTGCTGGGCTTGCCGCAGCGATCTTGTCCTTCGTTCGGCAACAGGAACAGCACATGCCTTCAGGAAGCGAGTTGCTGGGGCCGTGGTTGAAAGACGTTCACTCGATGGACGAGGTGCTCAAGAGCATGGTCAAACAGAGGAGGGGGGCAGGCTATGACTATATCACACCTCATTTACTCTTTGATAAGAGGGCAACCAGGGAAGAGGTTTACGACAAGATCAAAGATATCAGAAGACACTTGTATGACTAGCAACCTATAGCAAGTTGTATGATAGTACATCCACATTCGTCCACCATCCTTATGCAGGAACGCAATAGACCCTGCCCTGCTCCGTCAGGTCGGGAACCGCCTCTGCAGTCTCGATCTCAGAACCATCCACATCCTCAACAATCACAGACAGTCCGTCATCTGACTCTCCGCCAATGGCCATAAAGGCGCCCTTGTTGTAGTCCTTGAGCTTCAGTTTCCGCCCGAACCTAAGCCTTTTGACACGGAATGCAAACACGAATTCGTCCGCGCGAATCGTCTCTGTCTCATCGTCACTCGAGCTGCTCCAGTGACCCTTTGGGCCCATATTTGTGCCTAACGAGGACGCATCGATGCCAATATTACCGGTGAAGCCGTCGCTGTGCGAAGTCGAGTACTTGATTCTCGCGCCCTTGACGAGCTTCAAGCCCGTGACGAGATAGAGCGAGCAGACAGGGGCGAACCTCTGCCTGGGCTCCCTCAGCCATGCCTGCACGGCGGGTGCCTGAATGGCTTCTTGGACATATTCTTGGGTTGGCTCGAATGCGTAAGTCGTCACTTTGTCGAATGCGAACGTGTTTGCCGTTTTGCTGGTGTGCTCAAAGTTCACCTCATTTCCAAGGGGCGCTCCGCCGATAGCCACTTGAAGGAACTGTGCGTAGACGCCCAGACCGATGCCCTTCTGGGTGGAAACGGTCTTTTTCCAATCGTTTTCCACGACGGGCGGATCTGCGTCGGACACAGCAACTATGCTCCCTCTGTTGAGAGGATATTGAGGCGTTGACGTGGATCGGATGATAGAGCCAAGACTTAGCGGGCCGGCCGGTGGTGGACGGATGAAGTTGGACGTGGGACAGAGGAAATACGTCTTTGTAAATGTAAAGGCCATGGTGTCAAGCTTTGCTTTGAGATTTCGTGCTTCTTTTCAAACTTGTGAGGTATTGAGCATTGGTTTATCATTGATATCTCGTGAAGCTTCCCGTCTTATATATGCGAGGAGTCCCAGGCCTTAGCCGCCCATGGGCACTCTCTTCGCGCCGTATGCCTTCAAGGAGTGTGGGCCAGGTTCCTTTTGCATTCAGTCACAGCCGCCAATCTCGGCCCCTAAAGCAACGCGCAGGATACTAATAATATCAAGTTGAACTGCACCTTCATCACCCCCCATCTAGGATAGAGCTTCCCCCCATTTGGCACGCTCTGCCTCAAACGATGCCACCTCGCGTTGGCACTCCCCTTGTAGGCCCTGCTAAAGTCTCACCACTCAACTGTCTATCCGTGGGCAACCTGACACACGAGCACGGCTCGGCCTATTCAATGCTTGCATGACCTTTACCGCCGCAAAACTCTCGCGAAAGGATCTCAAACAGACGTCAATCCTCAGCGGGGCAAGTGTTTCTGCGCAAAAGAGAATGGAGGGCCGAGGATATGAGACGAGGACGCAGCGAAAAGGTCGTGTGTAACTACACGGACTTTGCTAGCCTATCTAGAACGGCCACTGATAATCATGCCTGTTTCGCCGGAAGCCATCCATGGATGGGTAGGTAGGTAGACTATAAACGACAAGGCTATGAGAGTGCTGCTCGGAACGGGTGCCAGTTTCCATGTCACGGGCGTCGACTTGCCGCTGTACCTTTCCCGTTTGTACCACTACCTTGCCTGTACTTAACCCAACAAAACCCACCCCGGCTGGGCATCAGCTGCAACATGCAATCGTTCCATTACCCGACACCTCAAGCGGCTCATGAGACGTCTTGAGGCGCGATATTCCTGTCCACGAATCTCAGGCGTCTCTTCTCTCGCAAACACGCTCATCGGCCTCCTGGACCTCGAGCGCAGTCCCAAGGACTGGCCGCCGACGGCCTCATTTACGGCCTCTCGGCATCATGATCTTGGATCGCATGGACGAGGATGTTGTGGAGGATGTCTTTCTCCAAGAGGGCCTTTGCCCGACAATCGCAGAGCACGCGGCGCAGTGCAACTCTCTGTTTCGCAAGTACATGGTTTTGCCTGACATCGTGCCGGATCCTACCATCATGGACGACCAGCTGGCGCGCTTTACGCTGTGGGCGTCGAACATGGACGTCTTCGGGCCGCTCAATGTCTCGTTGGACTACAGACTCCGATTCAGTCCGACGGTGGTAGACATCATACATCAGCTCCTGGACGTCATTTGCGACACCTTGGCATCTTGTAGGTCCCTGTCGCATCCAATTCTGGAGGGACTGAACCCCGGAGTAACAGCTGCTAATGAGCATCTCTTCAACAGTGAAGCCAATCAACGAGCCACCACAGACTCCAAGCAGGAAGAGACAGCGCATATCAGTATACAGCGAACCAAAACTCACGAGGAAGGACGACGACGATGCAAGCGACTCGGACAGTGACGTGGATGAGGCAGAAGAAAACATATCCAAAATCACTGAAACCATCGGCGGGACCGTGTCCCGGCTTTTTCGCCTATCCAATGCTGTTCGAAAGTCCGCAAAAGCCAATCGAGCCCGCAAACTGGAGAAATACAGAGACGACGAAGAGGCAAACAAGGCTGTAGCCGAGATGTGCCTGTACACGGACTGCTACATTCGCTTCCGCTTTCCGATGGCGCCGGATTCGCTTCGCTCAGCATTGGTCGAGGCCAATGCGCTCCGGCTTCGACGACTGTACTATCAGCGATCACATCGAAGGCGTATTGACATGAGTGTTCAGAGTCCTCAGACTAGTCCGCCTGTTATTCAAATGCCCCAGATCAAAGAGGGCGCTGCGGCTGTACGTTTTGCTCCGAGCGTTGTACCAAAGCCTACGACCATCAACAAGACATCGGGACAATCTGGCCCGCCGCCGGTGCCAGTAACGAACGCAACTACTGCTCGACAAACCGCCGTTGGAGCTTTCTATGCCAAGTCCACAACTGAGGTTCCTCGGGCCAAGTCCGTTCTGGTCAATAACAAGTTGTCATTTCCTCCAATACCGCCGACACAGGAGTGCCCATACTGCGGCGTCATCATCGAGTTCAAGAACACTTCTGCTAAGTCGATACTTTGGAAGTAAGCAAATGATCGACCATCTACTCTTAATTGACAAAAACGCCTAATGTGCTTTAGCAACCATGTCATCGGAGATCTGGAACCTTTCATTTGCACTTTTCCACACTGCTTGGAATCGGGCCAGCATGGGACCGGTCCACTCACATTCGAATCTTCAAAAGCTTGGATCAGCCACATGCAGAACGCGCACGGCCATGCATGGGAATGCAGGGCCCCTTCTCATGATCCAATCACGTTTGATCAGGAGATCCAATACCAGAAGCATTCTATCGAAGAGCATGGCGTTCCCGAAGCGCATGCTGGGACCCTCAGCAACGCAGCACGAAGACCAGTCCATGACAAGGTGCTGGAGTGTCCGTTTGGCGACGATTTCCAACCCCCCGAAAGGAATGCATCCAGTGCTTCCAGTGCCGTCTTCTCGAGCGAAGCTCTCCAGTTACACGTTGCCGCTCATATGAAAGAAATTGCTTTACTTACATTGCAGAAACTGCCCAACGACGGGGATGAAGACGCCGAGAACGTGGATAGCGACCAGCCCTTAGATGAAGATGGGCCGGGGTTTGCAAACTTGCGCGGGTCCATGTACAGTATACTCGACGACCAAGATCTGGACTTCCAGGACGACGGAGAGGAGCCTGCGGATGGCACATGGGAGCACCGCGAAGAGGACATCAGTGCATCGGTAACAAATCTCGACTTAGAGGACAAGGACGACTCGGGAAGGACCAAGCTTCACCGTGCGGTGCAGGCCGGCGACCAGCGCCTGGTTGAGGTTCTGATCTCCGAAGGCGCAAATTTGGCCAGCAAGGACTATCGCGGCAGGACAGCGTTGCATTATGCGGCCATGGGCGAATTGGATTATCCTGCTTCTCATATAATGGAACTGATCCTGAAGGCCGGGGGTAAAACCATCATCAATCTAGGTGACGACAGCGGCCAAACAGCGATGCATTACGCTGCAGAGAGGGGCCTCACGAGCTACATATATGTCTTGGAACAGCACGGTGCCGATACACAAAGCCCTGACAACTACGGGTTCTCTCCGTTCCTCTGGGCTGTGGTTGCTGGGCAAACGAACGCCGCTGGTTATATGCTACGAAACATGGGCGCCGATCCCAATTCAACCAGCGCGGACGGAAAGTCTGCGCTGGCTTGGGCTGCCGGTCTGGGAACATATCATACTGTTCGACTGCTTATTGATCACGATGACAGTACAATCTGGGCACGAGACACGCCCATGACGCCGTTACAGGAAGCTGCAGCTTCGGGCAACACTGACATCGTACAATTGCTCCTCATATCTGGCGCGAATCCAAACCATCGTGCTCGTGATGGTTGGTCCGCTCTACATTGGGCAGCGGAGGAGGGCCATTTGCGAACCGTGGACTACCTATTGAACAATAGGCCCGACGTTAATGCTACCAGCTCTTATGGCACGTCACCACTGCACTGTGCTGCAAACGGGGGACACTATCACATTGTGAGCTTGCTTCTTGAATCGGGAGCCGACCCACTCAAGTCAACATGTCACGGTTGGACTGCATTGCATCACGCCGCCTTCATGGGGCATTCTCACGTTGTCCAGAGGCTCCTGGAAGACGAGCGTGTAAGATCGAGCGCATACCAGCAGGATAACCATGGCTGGTCCGCTCTCCATCTGGCCGTCCATAGTCGAGACCTGGCTACGGTCGAGGCCCTACTTGGCAGCTCCGGCATTGCAGAGCCTTCGGCCCTCGTCGACGAGAGTGGCCTCACTGCAGAGGAATGGCTGGATCTTGGGCTAACTAGCCACTCCTACAAAGCGACCAGCAACTTGGCATTCGGCAAGTCGCGCTGCTGTAGGGGGGTCACAGGCTTACGGCAAGCTGCTGTCATGGGCATCATTCCTGTGATCGAGTACTTAATCAGAGCAGGCCATCGCGTTAATGGCATGGATTCCGGGACAAGAACTGCGCTTTACTACGCTGCAAAGAAGCGCATGCTTCCCATTATGGACCTGCTTCTCGAGAATGGTGCGGATCCCAATATCCTCCCAAGAGGACGCAGAAGCTGGGAAGAATTCATTTCGGATGACGCCGTTTTACTTCGGCTCAACCGAGCTGGTTACACAAGGTGGGATCCTGACCCGGAGATAGAGCGTCAGATTCGACTCGCACTTAGAACTCGAACCCAGTCCTTTGTTCAGCATAGAATTATTCCTGGTGGATTTGCTGGGACTGGAGTTGAGGTCGGAGCTGAGTACACGTATACACGAACGTCGTGGCGATCTACTGTGCAAGTCGACTCGTCATCACCTGTCGTGGCTTCCTCCGCGCCATCTGTCCCGGACCCTTTGGTTCCAAGTGTGGCAGCGGGCTCACCAACACCTGCAACCCAGACAAATGACAATAAGAAGCGCAAATCGGGTACAGTCAGGTCGCGCGCAACAGGCCTCTGGAGACGACTAATAGGATAGTAAGTCCATCTTCGATGCCAGAGTGGGCAGAGACAGTTGTGGAGGACACATGAAGTTTTAGCTATTACTTTATATACAATGAGGTGAAAATTACAATGCTGTTGCCTTGAAATTGACGAAAGAATAAGGGGATATCATTTGTACAATACTCTTGCAAGCAATGACAATCTGCCCGAGAATCTCGAAATCGGCTCTCATCTCAACGTGACGTCTCAGCTGCCTCTAGAACCCTACCCAGTTGCATTCTCTTCTCCGCTTAGTTCTCGCTCTGCTTTGCCACTAATCAGGCGAAAAGATGCGCGATAAGACTTCATAAACCAACGATCCCGTTCACCATATTCTCGACCCCTGGCAACGAGTACAGATGCTGCTTCACTCTTTGTCTCAGTGCCGCCGCAGGAGGTGCAAGGCCATATTGCTTTCCGATAATGAGGCACTCCACAAGAGTCTTGCACGCACGCTTTTGAAGCGGTCCAGGGGGCTGCTGTGATATCAAGGCACTGAACGCCTCCGGGATCGCCTCGCCGATCAGCCATCGGTGGGCAGCGGCATTCTCCTGGCATAAAATCAAGCACGAAGCGGATGGCATGTTGAGAAAGCGGTCTTGTCCCTTCTCCCGGGAGTGCTGAGCGAATTGGAGGATACTAGTCAGGAAGAGGAGTAACCTTTGGGAGTCCTGGCTTTGGCTGATAACGAGTAGTTCATTGGCGCAAGCCTGGCTTGCATCGCTAAACACTTCGACTTCGTGATTGCCGCCAATGTATCCCTCGTAGAATTCTGCAATGACTCTGGCGAAGTATTCAATGGGCTTGGGTTCCTTGTTCTCGATCATGGCGAACTGCGACGTTAGGAGCACCACGGTTCGAGCCACGTTCTCTTCCCGGTTGCCACTTTCAATGCTGGCATCAAAGTCGTTGAGAAACTCGCGGACGCCGTAATGCAAGTACTCCTCCGCGTCTCTGTTGTAAGCGATGGCGGCCCAATGCGAGAATGCCCTGGCCGTGATGGCATCGCCTTCTCTCCATCCTTGTCGGACAGCGGCGAGTTTTGCCTCCGAGCCGACGAGGACCGCGATGACCAGCAATGCTTGAAGATCTCTAGGAGCGACCGACCGGAATATCTGCGTCGGCAGGTCGGTCATGGCTGTGAGTCTTCGTGGATTTCTGGCCACAATGAGCTGGACGAAGAATTCGCGATACTGCTCGGCCCATTCTCGCAGCTCGTCCGTCCTGTTTTCGTCCACGAGCTCCTGCAGTACAGACATGTGCTCCCAGCGGTCCAACGCCAGAAATTTCAGATATAGCGTCACCAATCGAAGGATGATGGGAAAGCGGAAAGATAAGCCCATGGTCTTCATGACGATTTCGACATTCCGCGACGCCTGCTTGTATCGTGCAAGAAAGATTGGCTCCTGAAGTCCCAACAACTCCTTCACCCTCTCTTCCATTGGGTCTGAAGGCCCTTTTAAAGAAGTGACTCCCGGGGGAGTTGGCAGCCTATTCACGCGCGCTCCACGTTCCAGCAATATCTGGATGATCTCTTTCGAATTCGCCTGGATAGCTCGGATGAGGGGCGTGTCGCCATGCTCAGACTTGCTCTCAAGACGGGCACCCCGGTCAATCAGCACAGACACGATGTCTTTGTGCTGTCCAGTGACAGCTATATGGAGCGGCGTCAAATCGCTCCGATCCTTGACATTAACACGAGCACCATGGTCGAGCAGAAACACCACCATGTCGCGGTGACCTCGGTTGACGGCCCAGGAAAGCGGCGTCCGGCCGTAGTTGTCCCTTCGCGAGATGGCACGAGTATGCTCGGTGATTAACATCTTTGCCCAGGGTACGTTGCCAAGATACGCAGCCAGATGCAAAAGCGTGAAGGTGGGCGCATTTCCGCCGTTCTTCTCATGCTCCCAATAGAATTTCCACCATCGGTCCCGGATGGGTGAATTGGCTTCGAAGAACGGACGTGAGAATTCGGACGGCGAATCAATTGCGTCCATGGCATGTTGAAAATGCGCCGGCCAATGTTGACTGGCATAAGTTAGGAGGGTATCGTGGCCAGATTTCTCGTCGATACTCCTGGGAGTCCCATAACCACGTTCAATGTGGTCCAGGCAGGTCCGCATAAGAGTCCTGTGGGTTTCGTGGCTCATGCGGAACCCTCTGATCCCGTCGATGTTGACTTGATCGCTCTGGAAGAAGTCTTTGGCCGACTCATGGACCAGGTTGACTACATCCCCTTCGATCTTTACGAGTAGCCCGCAGCGTCTGAGTCGATTCTTGGTCACTGTAGTTGCCGGAATGTCACCAAATGCCCTGATCCCCGCGGCCACTGTCAACTCATCCACAGTCAGCGGCCGGGAAGCGAGAACAACCCATTGGAGGATGGGAACCAGAGCCTCCTTATCGTCAATCTGCTGAAGTAGCCGCTGATAAACCCCGCCAAGGCCTTTGGGGACACGATGAAGGATCTCGGTGATTTTGCTCCAACTCCTGCCCTGAAGCTCGTTGGCAACGAATCCAACCCACAGAAAGGTGCCATCAGCACCAGCCGACAAAGCTTGTCGAACTTGGGCCACCTTTTCTTCGGAGAGGTTTTGTTCGGATGCCAGTTCGGCAACTTTTGCCAAGATATACCTCTCAATGTCGCGTGAAACCTCTGTACCGGAGGCGTCCAGCTTGATATACTCGTATTTGCCGAGCGTTCTCTCCAGAACAGCCGGCTGGGGGCGGGAGAGACAAATGAGCTTTAGTCGTGGCCTTGCCTTTTCCTGATCGGTTGACAGGCAGTTTCCAACGGCATCGAGAAGCTGCCCAAGCGAATCCTTTTCGCATTCATCCAGACCGTCCAGCACGCAGACCACCTGGGAAGATGAACTCTGCTGAAGCAGGGTTAGAAACACCCTCCACAAGGAGATGAAGCTGGAAACGGTATATTTGGTTGTTTCAGTCCCCTCGAAGGAGCTCTTGACGTATTGCGCCAGGTGTGGCTGGCGGTCGATCCATTGATGAATGATGCCTCTCATGATGGTCAGTGCCGTGTTCCGGTTTTTATCTCGGTTGCTGCAAAAGTAGTAAAGGAGAACGTCGCCCTCGGCATCGATTGCTGGCTGGAGAATCTCGGTGATATAAATCGCCAGCATAGTCTTCCCCTTCCCGGGGCCGCCCGAGATCCAGAGGAGTGGTCGATGGGCATCTGCCAGCCACCCTTGATAGCTGGGGTGCCGTATAAGCCACTCGCAGGTGCCATCAACTCTACGCCCTTTCAGAGTAATAAGAGCTTTTCGATCGACCTCGGGTCTGGTTAAGAGCAAAGCGTCGAGGACCGGCGCAGCCTCGGCATATGTGTTTGTTGCCAGAGGTGCCGTCTTGGGCGCCGTAGGTATGAACGAAAGGACCTCTTTTGCATATGCAGCTGCAGCTGCCGCCGCATATGCCTGCCAGAGCTTGGAGCTGGAACTGTGAGAATCTGCATAGTCGCAAATCCCTCGAATGATCAAGTATTTGGCGGCATCTTTCAGGCCACTCGCCTCTGTTTCCAAACAGAGAGCGCCTAGCTTATGTGCCAGCATGTCTCGAGTCGCCCCATGGCGTATAGGGCGATGGCTAGAGACAATCGGACCATAATGAACTCTAGGGTTCTGTGTCTCTCGTGGCTGCCGGGGCCGAATCATATCTGGGTTGCAATGTATGCATCCGTCTTCTGCAAATTCGGCGGTTGCGTGCTGGTAATCGGGCTCGAAGAGGACGTCTTGCTCTGGGCCGGGATGGGCAAAGATGACGGGGTCTTTCTGCACGATCTCAGATAAGTGCCGGGACATCTGGCTTTCATCAAAGATGGCGGCTGTCTCGGCCTTTCCCATAGCTGTGAGAAGTAATGGCGTTGGCTGCTCTGGCGCTCTGCCACGGATCGACTGATGTTGATCTCCTGCTCGCTCTTCGTTTGCTTCGTATTGGGTGACACCCGGCCGGCCACCTGTCGACTTGCTGACGACGACATCGCCAAGGCGTATATCCTCATTCGTACCTGGAACTCCTCCCCCAATGCCAACCAACAGAGTGCATCGTACAGACTTGAAGCTCGCGTGGAGCTGCGCGGCCACGCTCGCCACCGAGGTTTCGCCATACACGCCAGAATGTGGATATGCGAGCACAACATTGTGGCCTTGAAGGCTCCCTAGAATGTAGTTGTTGCTGTCGTCCAAGGTTGAATCCGGAGGTAGGGCATCATGGATGCGATCAAGCGTCGCTTTGGCTGCCGCGACCTCTACCGGCAGTGCGCAAACCCATCCGACCAGGTAGTCATCACGGGATGCCATTTCCAGGTAGGCGGCACGCACAGCACCGCGGCGAGAAACTCGCAGAACTTCAGTGCCTATACGTTGTCTTACTTTGAGACTGGTTGTGGCTGTCGGTAAGGGACGACCAAATCGACCTTACAGAACATTGTGTGGGTTGATGTAGGTGAGAAGACAGAGCAAAACAGTCCGATCCGTCAAGCAACAAGTCAAACAAGGAGTATGCAGCCGCGAACGCGCGGGGGGATAGAGGCATAGACAGGGTCTTGATCACCTACCCTGTACCTCTATTGCTCCATTCTGTCACCCCCAGCATCAGGCCTCGGGCGTGTATACCCTGAAGCGTCCACTTTCCGAGGGATTGGCCTGGCGGTGCCAAACACAATTGGGACCCGGAGAGCTGATGAGGCTCCTGGGCCACACCCTCGGGAACACACCGCAGAAGGATGAGGCGCAGCCCTGTCAGCGCAAGCTGCAACAGTGCCAAGGGCAGGCAGACGTCCACCCCTGCTGGGGTCGAATCCTTGGGCCGGCATCATATGTTTAACGGATAACGTCGAAGTAATAGGTACGTCGTTGCTCAGCCAGTGATTGAGCCCGTCTCCGCTGCGGAACGGATAGGCACCGTGCGGCCACGGAAATACCCCAACCATCCATACTATTTCCTAGCCATTCCTATACCAACGGGTGGCTACATGTCCGTAAGCGCGCGCGTCCATTAATATGGCGCGGGAGGTTCTCTATACTTATGCGCTCACCCTTTGGAGAGGTCAAACACAGGCAGGATGGCCGTGTCTCGGTGCAGTCTGTAGCCGTACGATCATGTTGACGAGTCTGTTTAGTTTCCCGTGCTGTGAAGCTGATCACATGAAGGAGGCTCTTGTGTCCCGCCAGAAGACTGGTTGAATGATGAGAGTACAGACCAATGACTTCAAAGTTCTAGCTTTGCTAGATTTCTTTTTCTTTCCTTTTCTATGCAAAATTCAACTCTCTGGGGCTTCTGCATGCATCTCGTCTGGTAATAAGGTTAAAAGGGGGTAAGTCCACTCTCCAGGTTAACTCGCGGATGGTCTATGGCAACGTTTGTTGTCGTGGAGAATAGTACGATTGGGATGGGGACTCACGAGTCTCTACAGTACAAGGAGTATCTAGTTATGGACATGGAACAGAATGCGCATCACAAGGGACCATTTGATTAGACAGGAAGACTATGTCGGCAAGCATCAAGAGCGCCTTCCCCCCTTGATGTAACACATATTCTACCCAAACCTATTGCTGTTGATGTTCCAAAAGAAGTCAGGGTTGAGCAACTGATCAATATCACTATACTGCAGCCCGAAAAACTGATCCGTAAAGCTATCCATACCAAGCATATCCTCCGACAGCATCGGCGAGGTATCCAGGACATCCTCAACGTCCTCAACAGGGCTCATCGGACGACTCTTTAGTATTTCACTCAACGCAGAAGCAAACATCTCTTTACCCCTTTGATGCAACAAGACGAGCGAACGAGCCGTCCTCAGAGCCTCACGCGTTGCCTCGGTCTTGTACACGGCAGACACGTCTCGCAGGCACTGCATCGCGTCTCGTAGCTGCGAGATGGATGAAACCGTGTCTATGGCAAGCAGCACACAGACAATCTGGAACGGCACATAGGTCATCTGATGCCAAGGGGTACGCGCAGCAAGGACAGCCTGCGCAGCCTGGATTCCGTTTGACGTGAGTATGAGGACTTGTTGGAGAACGGAGTCTGACAGGGCAACGTCCATGGAGCGCAATCGCCGACAGAGGCAGAGTGCGAGGTTACACTGGGCGAGAATAGACGGCGGAGCCGAGTGCACGCGGTTGAGAACGACCTGAAGCGCGTCTTCCAGCTCAAGAGCTGTGGGCTTCCGCTGCGGATCAAGCTCCATTGACAACGGAAGCAGTTCCATCAGCTCGCGGGTAAAGTCTCCTTTTCTCTTTGAAGGCATTGCCGTAGTAGGATTGAACAAGGAGACCCGGGTGAGGCCCATGTCGAACGACATCCAAATGTTGAGATGCTGAGCAATGGTCACAATCCTCTTCTTTGTGTCCAGACTGACTTCATTGTGGGGAGAGGACAGGATTGCCTCTTGAGGTGCGTCGACGGTGAAGCCAGCGGCGTCAATCATGTGCATTACCGTGCAGCTCGCCATCCAAGCGACATGATGCGTCTCGGCAATCCTCAGATAGATCACACGAAGCAGCCACGCCGTGATGCTGTCAGCAGAAGGAGTGCTGTACAGGGTCCTTTCAAGCAAGGCCCGGGATAGCTCAACCAGCGCGACTTCGGCAGTGTCAGATTGAACTTGCGAGAACAGGCAGCCGAGTGCAGCAATGCCGCAGAGCACGGCTTCTTGCTCTGGCGTTACGCTTGGCACTGCCCATCTCTGTTGTATCCGACGACAAATTTGAGTACGATCAACAAAGCCATAGATCGGATCGAGCTTCTGAAAGTACACAGCTGCCAGCTCCTGCAGTCGCTTCTGTGAAATAATGTCCGTGATAGACTGGGCGGGCGGAGCATGCAATTGCACAGCCTGTAGTGATCGTGACCCGAGAAAGGCATTCCAGGCAAAGCTGTGCATCCTGGGGTTTCTCTTCGGATCCAGCCTCAAGGCCAACGTCCTCACAAATGCCGGGCAGGAATTCGCCTCCACGGAACGCGCCTGAACAACTTTACTCGCCGCAGCCGACTGAGCTTCATCGCGGGCGAGCTTCGTCTCTGAAAACGCCGGGGCCGGAACCAGAGCCGGAGCCGATACGGCGTCTCCGGAAAGACCCGGGATCCGCTCCGGGTCCGGCTTGGACTCTCTTCTTCGCCGCGATTTGGACGTCTGATAGATGCAGTGGTATTCGAAGCGCACGCACGTGCCGCATGGTTGAGCGCCGTCGCATCGCCTTTTGAGGTCGCGACACGTCTGGCATGCGATTTTGGAACGTTTGCGCCCCTCGTCCCGAGTCATCGCGCTAGGGTTATGATGTACTTGTAAGAGGGGGGTATTCGACTTCGTTTTCTGGTCAGAACCTTCTTCAAGACTGGTCCTATGGTCAGGAAATCGGATATCGAGGCAATGTGATGTTCAAGTGAACGGATCCCGAGCAAATGCCAAGTTTGAAATAGGCTAATATGGGGGATTGGGCAGTCCGCCATCGTTGGCGGGAATAACGGGTATCACGCATAAAGCGGGAAGAGGCATGTCAACGACAACAAGGGCCTGTTTGTCATTACTACAGATATAACAGAGTCGCAAAAAGTCAAGACTGACTCTGTTTCATAGACAAAATCAACTCTCTACCCAACCCTACACCATTTCACCCATACAAGTAATTCTGGTGAACGCAACGCTGAGCTTTTACACTGAGGCACACTTGAGCACAAGACACCAGGCCTCAGCTTGCCAACAGAGAAAAAATGGAGGTGGAAAAGTGTTCAGCAGAACAAGACGGAAACACAACATGCGACTCAGACCAGCCACCACCTCTAAACGGCCCTCACCAACACCAAGACGCCTCCAATGATCCTCCCGACGGCGGCTTCGCAGCATGGACACACGTCCTCCTCATGCACATCATCTTCTTCAACACCTGGGGCGTCGCCAACGGCTACGGCGTCTTCCAGGACTACTACACCCAGACCCTCCACCAGTCCCAGTCGTCCATATCCTGGATTGGCAGCGCCCAAGTCTTCTTCCTCTTCTCCATCGGCGCCGTCGCCGGGCGTCTCACCGACGCGGGACACTTTCGGGTCACGTTTGCCTGCGGCGTGGCGCTGCAGCTGTTGGGCATATTCATGACTTCTCTTTGCACAGAGTATTGGCAGATCTTTCTCGCGCAGGCAGTGTGTCTAGGCATAGGCAATGGGCTTACATTCTGTCCTGCTCTGGCTGTTCTCTCGCAGTACTTCAAGAGATATCGGGCTTTTGCGGTTGGTCTTTCTGCTGCCGGGGCTGCTGTAGGTGGACTTGTCTACCCGGTGTTGATAAACCGACTCATCTTCCATGACAACTTCGGTTTCCCTTGGACTCTACGCATCATGGGCTTCATCATGCTGGCCACTTACATCCCCTGTCTCATTTGGTTCAAGCCCCGTTTGCCACCGCACAAGACGGGCGCGTGGACTGATACATCTGCTTTCCGAGACGTGCCATTCCTCTTCTTCGCGCTGAGCATGTTTCTCAACTTCTGGGGCCTTTACTTTGCCTTTTTCTACTTGGGAACGTTTGCTCGCGAAAAGGTGGGAACCAAAGAACCGATCAACTTGCTCATCGTTCTCAACGGCGTGGGCATTATTGGACGTATTTTGCCTACAATAGCCGCCGACAAATGGGTCGGCATGCTCAACATGCTCATTCCCATGAGCTTTGCCGCGAGCTTGCTCGTCTTTTGCTGGACAGCAGTATCATCAACAGCCGGTTTGTATGCCTTTGCCGTCATCTACGGCCTGGTAGCAGCAGCACTGCAAGCCCTGTTCCCAGCCGTCGCCACAACCATGACTCCTCATCCGAGTAGAACCGGGACACGTGTGGGGATGATTCTTGGGTTTGTCAGTTTCTCGACGCTCACGGGTCCAGCCATCTGTGGTGCCATTATCCAGAGGCAGGATGGAGAGTACTTGGGGGCGCAGATGTTTGCTGCTGTGAGCATTCTTCTGGGCGCGATGATGGCTTTGGCTGCGAGGATGGCCAAGGCTGGATCAAATTTGACGACAAAGGTGTAGACGAGGATGAAGATGATAATTAGATTTCAAGACATCTAGACGTCATGATTAGAGCTCGCTTAAATACAGGAACAATTGCGAATACAAGACAACTTCACACATGCATGGCTACCACCACGTTCGACATGATGCAACCTCCTAATGCAGATGATGTTTGGAAATGAACGCGTTAAGTTGACAATGACAAGCCGGTAAATGACAAAATGTTTGATTCAATTCCAAACGCCGTCAACTGTCTAGCCAGCATCCTAGTCTTTAATATCAAGATAATTCGTATCCATATTCCTCGCCAATGTCAACAAATTTTCCCACCCGTGGACCCCCACAAACCGTCGCAACATTAAGCCATCACGGCTTCCGGTCTCCTCTGCGAAGCATTACCCGGCCCCTTCTTTGCACCAGGTCGAGCCAACGTGTACTTGGCAAAGGCACGCGCCAGAGCCTTCTTGCAGCTGACCTTTTGGCTTCCTACAAAACTCTCTACCGTCACCGCAATGGCCCGGTCAATGTCTTGTGCTGAGCAGTATTCGGAAAGGCGCATCCTGCAGAAGGCTTCGCTGATTCTGATGATAGCCTCAAGATGACGGACCTGGGACAAAATGTTAGCACCATAGTATGTATCAGAACACACATGTTCAAACTCACAGTGATGGGGTAGGCGCCTGTCGCGAGGGACTCTCTTCTCATATCCGCAAACAGCCTGGCCACCTTATCCTCGTCCATGTGATAGAGTTTGGGACTGCAGCGCTCCCGGGCATACAGAATGTACTTGCGCAGCAACTCCTGGGGGATTTCCTTGACATCTCGCTGATCCCTGGAAGCAGCCGTCTGCTGTGTGTCCATTGCGCTGCCTTGGGTAGCTGTGCCTGGACGCGCCTGTGACACGGGATGGCTTCGGCCGTGAGAGCCAACAATGAACCTTGCCAACCGCTCGTCCTCGGAGGGCTCTACCAAGTCTCGCACCACGCACAGAATGTCGAAACGCGACAGAATGGGCTCCGTCAACTCCACGTTGGCCGAGAAGGGAATCATGGAGTTGTAACGACCACCGATCGGGTTGGCGGCGGCAATGATGCCACAGCGAGCTTGAAGAGTTGTCACAATACCCGCCTTGGAGATGGAAATGGTCTGCTGTTCCATGGCTTCGTGGATCGAAGTTCGATCCTGGTCGTTCATCTTGTCGAACTCGTCAATAAGGCAAGTGCCTCTATCAGCCAAAACAAGAGCACCGCCTTCGAGAGTCCATTCGCTCGTCAAGGGGTCTCGGCGGACGCTAGCCGTCAGACCGACAGCACTGGCACCTTGGCCGGTGGCAAAGACGGCCCTGTGTGCTGTTTTCTCGACGTATTTGAGAACCTGTGATTTGGCCGTTCCGGGATCACCAAGAAGGAGAACGTTGATGTCTCCACGAACGTGATGGGCTCCTCGGCCGGTCTTGGCTACGCCACCAAATAGGGACAGGGCAACTGCCGTCTTGATATCCGTGTGTCCGTAGATACTTGGGGCGATGGAGTTGACAATCCGGTCCACAATATTGGGATCGCGAGCTAGTTTGCGAATCTCCTGCTCGTCTTGTTCGGTCAAGCGGAATCCAGCAAGCTGGTCGTGGGATTTGACAACGTTGTTGGCCTCGAGGATGGTGGCAAACACAGGGAAACCATTGCGGTTGTTCAACTGCGCATCGTAGTTGTTCCGGTAAATACCAGTGACCTCGATCTCTTCACCTGGCTTGGCCTTGTCAATCAAATCCCACAGCAGGATGACCTCTCGGTGACGGGGAAGACGACCGGCAGGAACAGTGCCGGGCGACTCCTGAAGGGTGAGCCTCTGGTAGTTGCGGTAGACGGTCTTCTCAGAGTTCAAGGTGAAGGGCCCGCGAGACTGACAGCTCTGGCAGAACGTGACCTTGACCTCGACGTGAGACTCTTGCTGGAAAGGACCGAGAGTCTCACCGCACTTGCCACAGTCGAATTTGACATATTTCAGCTGAGGAAAGACGCCACTTCGACGTGTGACTACTCCGCTGACGCGCACAAGGCAGTTGAGGTGCGACTGGCGCAATTGTCGAAGTGTGTAGTGAACAGGCAGGTCAAAGATGCGGACGTGGATTTCGGAGTGGATACGCTCGTAGTCAGGGTAGTGCAGCAGGACAACATCCATGGCGACTTGGTCAAACAGCTTGAGCATCTCCGCAGGGGCGTTGGCCAAGAAGTAGGCGAGGATGGCCTTGCTCTCGGCCAGGTGCTCGTACGAGACCTCCAGCGACTCTGCGTTGATCTCACCAAGCGTCCGAATACGGCTGCCATAGACTGATGAGCCAGAGGCATCTGTATAGGACGTCAAGAAGGCTTTGAACTCTCGCTTGATGGTGCGCTGAACCGGGGGCTGCGATACCCACTCGGTCAGGTTGGAGGCCTTGACGTCGCCCAGAGCCTCGAGGGAGAGCTCCTCGTCCATAATGTCATCCATGGCATCATCCGGGTCTTCGTCGTAGTGGTGCCTTCGCCGACGAGGCTGCGCCGTGAGGTCAATGTCTCCGTCTTCGTCATCGCCGGGGAGGTACGCGGCCGGAATCCTCTGTCTGCGGGCCACTTCTCTGTCTCGTCGGTTGAGCTGAGCCTCGAGTCGCCGCCTGTCGCCCAGGTCCATGGAATCGTAGTCGCCTTCGTCATCAAGGCCTGCACCCTCGTACGCATCGTCCTCTCGTTCTCTGTAGTCTGCTTCGAAGCCCTCGCGGAACAGGTCGACGTCGTCGTCGGCCATCTCGTCAATGTCGTCGATATCGTCCTGGATCTCAGCCTCCTCCTCGACCTCGTCGTCATCGTCCATACCATGAGCCATCAAGGGCCCAGGCGGAGACGATGGCAGCGGGCTTGAGCTCATGCCGGGCGTGGACACATCGTCGCCATCAGGGCGCGAGCGCTTGCGGCCTGACCGCGGGGCGGAGCCTCGATTGGCGGAGGCGGGATGGTCACGAAGGGGGGAGCTGTTGCGCCTTGTTAGCAGGAAGTGGAAGAAGATGCAGAAATGGAGACGGACCTCATGATGGCAGCTGTGGGAGTGGCTGCGGGTGGGAGTTGCAGCTCGATGTGTAAAGACGAAAAATTGGGCGGATGAAGGGACGGAAATCTGGCGATGCAGCTCTAGGTTTGGCTGTGGGGGCGCGACAACAGCGAGAATTAGGGAGCAATTGGCTGGAGCTCAGGTGCTCGACGCGCTGAAGACGCGTTAATTGCTGGGCGCTAGGCCCGATTGGCGTCGACGCGTAAAGTGGTTTTGCCGGCTCTTCGCTCGTGCTGACAAAAGAATATGAGCATGTCCCGCAGGCAGCTACACTTGTTCGCGTCTAGATTAATCTGTCAGCCGAACCGAACCGTCGCTGAGGCTGCCTCGTCATACGCAGAGCCGTCTTCCTCCACAGCCAGGCTTCGCAGCATCTGATCCTTCTTCTTCCTTTACCTTATCTTCATCATCCTCTCCATCGCCTTGGACTCGCGCATCGCCCATCATGTCTAGCGAGTCCGCCCCGCCCCCGATCGACTCGCTGTCCATCGAACAGGCCAAGACGGAGCGTGTCTCCGGCCGCAGCAACAGCTTCTCCCAACAGTCGCGGGCCTCTGACGACTCTCAAACTGCCGCCGAGTAAGTCGCAATGGGAGAACAAAGATGTCACGAACTACGAGCTAATACGCGGTCTAGTTTCCTTCGAGACCAGGAGATGCTCGAGGCCGATGCGCGCGAAGCCCTACCTTATGTATGTTCGACACCCTGACCTACCTTAAGACACAAGCAGCACCATCATCATCTTCATCTTCGTCATCTTCTTACTCTTCTTCTTCTCCATAGCTGATTGAATATCCCACCTCTAGAGCATCGAAACGTGCACCAAGATCCTCGGACCGCTGCGACAAAACGTCTTCGCCTGCCTGACCTGCAACCCTGCGCCGGCAAAGGATGGAGACGCCTGGAATCCCGCGGGCATGTGCTACGCCTGCTCCGTCTCCTGCCACGGCGAACACACTCTAGTCGAGATCTTCCAGAAAAGGAACTTTACCTGCGACTGCGGAACAACGCGCATGCCGTCGACCAGCCCCTGCACGCTGCGCATCAATAGCGAGACAAATACCAAAGGCAATGTCCACTCCGAAGAGCCGGATGCGAACAACAAGTACAACCACAACTTCAAGAACCGCTTCTGCTGCTGCGAGTGCGACTACGACCCGTTTGAACAGAAAGGAACCATGTTCCAATGCCTTGGCTTGGGAACGGAAGAGACCGGAGGCTGCGGAGAGGACTGGTATCATCCTGGCTGCTTGGTCGGCATGGGCCCCAAGTGGTATGAGAAGATGGACAGCAAGAAGCCAAAGTCAGCACCAAAGGAGACGGAGGGCCAAACCAATGGCCTGGCAACCATCGCCGAGAGTGATGAGGCACAGCCGATCAACGGCACGGCGGAAGCCGGTGATGTGGCTGTTGAGGACGAGGATGACGAGCCGCCCATGCCTCCCGGGTTCCCAGGCGAAGACGACTTTGAAGGGTTCCTGTGTTACAAGTGCGTTGATGCGAACCCGTGGATCAAGCAATATGCAGGAACCTCGGGCTTCCTACCAGCCATCTTCCTAGAGCAGCCCGCAGCGTCTGCGCCCTCTCCACCGGATAGCACGACCACCGTTGCGTCCAAGAAGCGCAAGGCTGAAGATGGTGACGAAAACCGTGCAGATGCTAAGCGCGTTAAGAGCGAAGATGAGTCTGCATCTACCACCGCAACTGACGCTGCAGCTCAATCCGCCAAGGATAGCCTCGACGTCAAACCTACCGACGCTCAGAATGCCAGGGAGGACGGCCCGACCTCGTGCAAATTGCCCAACCTCCCTGCCGCACCCAAAGGTCGCTTCTCCCTCTTCTTCAAAGAGGACTTCCGCGAGAAGTTCTGCCGCTGCTCAGACTGCTTCCGCCACCTCAACGCCCACCCCCAGCTTCTGGAGGAGGAGGAAGTCTACGAACCCCCTCTGTCCGACGACGGCGCTTCGCAGCACGGAGGCTCAACGCACGGAAGCGGCAGCCTGCTCGACCGGGGCGAGAGCGCCCTGCGCAACATGGACCGCGTCAAGGCGATTGAGGGCGTCATGGCGTACAACCACCTCAAGGAGCAGCTCAAGCCGTTCTTCAAGCAGTTTGCGGAGAGCGGCAAGGCCGTCGGGGCGGAGGACATCAAGGCATATTTCGCAAAGCTGCGGGGTGACGAGCAGGGGATCAAGGAGGCGGGCGAGGCTGCCGCGTCGTCCAAGGAGAATGGGGACGATGGGGGTGGTGGGGGTGGTGGGAGACGCGAGCAGAGCGGATATTGAACGGTGCAGTTGTGTCCGTTCTCCTGCTTGGTCGTCATAACCGGGGTTCCAATTCCCCATTATGATATTGTCAACTTTTTTTTTTCTTGATGAACATGTATTGATAGGTACTGTTGGGATTTGCAAAGGGGCTCGGAAAGCGGGATGCCGGGAAAGCACGTGAAGGCAATTTTCATAGATACCTATGAGATGACGGCTCAAGTTTGCCCTACATATTGTACTTTCATATCTTGCCATGTTGGCTTCTGGATTCATTTGGTATACAGACTAAACATGCTGTGACTTGCTCTTTGCCATTCATTACATGTATCTACACTTTGTAAAGCAGCATCGTGACGATGCGGATATCTCAAACTCCGCCTCACATCTCTCCAGACTTGACTTGCTCAAGTCGTTCGTGCCACTGCACTGACGTGAACCCTCCGATCTTACACCCTTTCCATCGCCTCTCATCTACCCGTAGACCCCGTACTGGACGCCGCACTCAGCGGCCGAGGAGGCGGTATAGGCAGCGACTCCTCCCTCTGCATGGCCACACCACCCATGATGCCCATGGACGACAAGTGATGCTGCTGCTGCTCATCGCTGTCCTCGCCCTGGCTATCCACCATGTGCTGCTCCTGCGCCGCCCGCAGCTCCAGCTCCCTCAACCTCTCCTTCTCCGCCTCGTCAATGATATCGTCGTCCGCGCTCCAGTACGGATCATCGTCCTCGAGCTCCGGCATCGCCATCCTCTTCCAGAAGCGCAGCTCCTGCCGCAGCGCAGTGTCGTCCACGCGCCTCTTGAACCGCTCCTCGTCCTCGTCGTAGCGCCGCCGGAACGTGCGCAGCGCCTCGTTGGCGCGCCCGGCGTGCGTCTGCATCTCCCAGATCTGCTCGCGAAGCCGGCTGTTCTCGCGACGGGCCTCGTCGAGCTGGGCGCGGTAGGAGCGGTGCCAGGCGGCCACGTCGGCGACGTGCTTGGCCTTGTACTCGTGGAACTGCTTGAGCATGAGGGAAAGGGCGTTTGCGTACTGGGTGAGGAGGGCGGCGTTGGCGTCGCGGCTGTGCTTGGCGCGGTCGAAGGACTCGGAGAGCTCGGAGATGAGGCTGTCGAGGTTTGTTTCCTGGGCTGGTGAGGGATTACAACAGTCGTTAGCAAAGAGAGATGGATCGTGGGGGAAATAAAAAGAGTCATCGGTAGGGTGGTCCTCACCATTGATGTCGTCCGCCGCAGACGAAATCAGGTCGCCGTTGCTCAGCCCCTGGGCCTTGGCCTTGTTGCGTATCCTGCCCAGCCCGTTGACAATCTCCTCGGTGACGCGCCTGTTGTCGGCCAGCTGCCTGCTCAACTCCTCGACCATGCCGTAGATGTAGTTGAGCTCGGCCTGGTGGCCGGCAGGGGTTGGCGCGGGCATGACGGCGCCGCCCATGGTTGCGCCGTTCATGCCGTTCATCTGGTAGTGCTGCTGCTGCTGCTGTTGTTGATGGTAGAGGGCCTGTTGCTGGAGCTGCTGCTGCTGCTGGTGATGTTGTTGTTGGAGGTAGTGTTGCTGGAGATAGTGCTGCTGAAGCTGTTGCTGGTGGAGCGTCTGCTGCTGCTGTCGCGCCTGAGCCTGAGCCTGAGCCTGTGCTTGTGCTTGTGCCTGTGCTTGAGCCTGTGCTTGCGCCTGAGCTTGGAGCTGGGCCTGGAATTGAATTTGATGTTGTTGTTGTTGTTGTTGCTGCTGTTGCTGCTGCTGCTGCTGCTGCTGTTGGGGGTCCAGGCTGGCAAAAGGCATGTCGCGCGTGGCTTGTTCTTGGTGCAGGTTAGTCAAGATGTGCTCTGGCGCTTCGGCTGCCATTCCTGCGGCTGGCCTGGTTTCTCTTCGGGCTTCGCCTGGATTCGCAAGTACCGGGACGGCGTCTTCTGGCGGGCGCTGCTATGCTGTAAATTGAACCCTTTGACCATCTGCGGCAGGTCAACTGGAATTGATTCGCTCCGAGTCTCTTGTCGATGATGCCGAGACGTGCAGACTGCAATTTGGCTTTCGCACCTTTTGCTCTTTTTTTTTCCCCTTCTTGCCCGACTCCCAATTCGTCTGCCAGAGTTGCAGAGCAGAGCAGTGCGAAAAACGCAGACGCAAGGGGGGGGTTTTCCTCTGCCAGCTGGCTGCCGACTTTTGGAGACCTGTTTGGCGAGGTACCTGCAGAGTACGACCGTTTCAGCGTCTCCTCTGAGCGGACTGCTTGTACTTCCTGACTACAGTACAATGGCGGGGATGCTTTCTACCTTATTGGTTCCATGCTGATTGCGACTCGTTGTCACCTCGCAGCGTATCAATTCGACATTCATTCAAATTGTGCATAAATCTCCTTTATATTGATTTCTGCATCAGGTGCCTCAAACGCTACGGATTCTGTTCTTTGTTTGCTCTCTTGATGCGAGGCCATTACTGAAAGACACTGGAAGTAGAGGTCACGTGTGGCTTGGATCTGACTCTCCTGGATGATGAAACTTTTGGTTGGCGATGATCTGCTGTTCTACCGGAGACACTTTCTGAATAAGGTACCCATATACTGATGTTCTCCTTTCTTCTGCTTCCTGTTCACTTGCTTTCTTATGTCAAGGCAATTGAGTTATGATTCACAACACAGCTCAAAGGTGGCTAAACAGCACCCAGGCTTTTGTGAACCAGCCACTTTCTACGACCATCTCGATTGAATAAACTCGCAATTAAGGTTGATTCTCAACCGAATCATGGCTGCGCCTCTCAGTTGCCGCAAGTGTCTTTGACCTTTGACAGTAACTGTTAAGGTAGATAATTTCTCAATTCGGCCTCAGGACGACGAGAATCTCGTGCTTTGTCACTGCAAGTCATAATCAAGTCATAAAGACTGGGTGTCATAGTTATTCCAGGTTAGGTGTTTCGCGATGTCTGCACGGCCGACTTGGGAATCACGGCGTTGTCCACTCATCGGAGTGAGGTATGTCCATCAAAGCTTGACTGAAACCTGATAACTTTTGTAGGTCGCTTGTTTGTCAATACCAGCAGACTTTCCCATTTGACCCGAGCGAGAGATTACCCCATCACCTTGATCCCATCCCCACATGATAGACTAATAAGTGAGGCATGGGGGACATAATCCTACTGCATGTTGGAGGCTGCAGCGTTACATCATAGATGAGGATAGAAAAGTAAAGTCACCGAGACAGAGCCGAAAGAAATTGAAGATTGCAGATGCTTTTCTTATGGCCTTGACCTATACTAGAAGGTGAGGCCGCCGCATGCACCTGTGTTGAGGTTAAACGGCAGAAGTATTGCGAGGGAGAGACGTGTGTGTATGGTTCACGTGGCCTGTCGAGATGCAGCCAACAAGCACTCATATATTGAAGGAAGATGGTTGCTATTCAATAGTTCCTTGGTCGAATGATCGCATAACTCAGTTTGTGATGGCCGGTTAATCTTGGCAAAATATAAGAAACGACGTTGTGCACAGAGACGATGGATATCTTGACTGGACACCCTTGGTATATCACGAGCTCTCAAACTAGATTATCTGGAGTGGGGAAATGCGACACTGACAGAGCTCGCTGCTTGGTAAGAGACATCACCAGACCCTGTTTGTGCGGGAGCATCTGGAACATCGCGATGAACCGAGCCGCGGGGTACGTGTAGTTGGTTTTGATGTTGGCGTATTTGTTGATGCTCCTAGAAAGAGGGATAAATCACTCAGAAAGTCAATGAGGGAAAAGTGTAGAATACTACTAATAGATCTATTGAAAGGGGCATTATCTTCTGCAAGCATGTTCGGGTTCTGCTCGTGTTTCCGACTACTACACTCAACATCAACCGAAGCTCAAGCTCCGATTCTGATCCCCAATGCTACCCTTTGGCCTCGGCTCTGGTGCCGGAGCTGAAGGCAAGGGACTTGCATGGCTCTAGATCGACTGTAGTGCTGCAACGCTGCGCCTGTTGATCATTTGGGGTATCATGAAAGAATTAGGAGTAGTAGTAGTAGAGGCATGGAAGAGACGAGATATACAAGGTGTCTGTTGGTGTCTCACACAGAATACGCTTGTATAGGTATGCATCTGTTGTATTGCAGAGCCGGATCTTTCAACACCTACACCTTGCCAACCACTCGAGGATGCGTGAGTTTTGTCGTAGATTGTGTTCTCTTAGCCTTTCAGCAGCAACAACTGAATAGCGTCACAGGCTTTCAGCTGATTGATCCGTCCAGACGAGTCCATCACTTTCCTACAGCTGCCCTCTGAGTCGGCCCGTTGGGTGCGGATGCCCCAAGAAGCGGCGCATATGCCCTTTTCATCCTACCGAGGCGTGCCAAGTCGTCCAGTCCCCTGCATTGAATCGAACGATGCAAAGTCGAGTCCCCATCACTGGTCGGTGACGCAGGATGCTCATCCCTACATAAAGGGAATTTGATTGCCTAGGTTGTTAGCAGACAATGTTGAAGCCAGCTGGAGGCTCTTTGAGTTGCCGACCCGAGGGCGAAAGCTAGCTGCCCGCTAGTCCCAGAACGCGTCTAGTGTCCCCCCCGCGGGTTTATTTCGCCGGCCGGCAAAAAGCACGCGGGCGGCGGCTTCAGGGATGGCCAGTGCTGTGACCCCTGCTGGCGCCTGTGCTTTCCGGCGAGTTTGGTGCGGGGAAGCTTGGGGGATGTGCCCTGGGGGCGCAGGTACAGGCACCGCGCAACCACTGAGAGCCGCCCTGGAAACTCTTTGGAGCTCGCGCCTACAGGTAACGCGACCCCACTTGCGGTCAAGAGCTCCGAACCTCGACAATTGAGTTCCATCCAAGTTGCAGCCTGACCTGGAGCTGGTGACCTCACTCTCACCCGACAAGGTTCATGTTGCATTGCATCAAATTGCACTGGACATGGGATCAGATTGCGATGCTACTCTAGCAGATTCTACAGGCGACAAGCTGCTCTCGACTGACTCTCTCTGTCTCTCTGGCAGACGCGATGCGGCGGCGATTCATCGAATTCCGATCGAGAGACAATCGAGCTCGCTCCCTTGAGCATGGACACCCCATGTCCCATCGAAAATGCCCGTCTCAGTCTCTCCTGGGTGGCGTCTTCGCCTTTCTCCGAAGCCTCCCCAAAACTCGCCCGTCACACCCACAGATTGTCCTCCCGCCGAAATAAGCTCCGTTTCCGCCGTCACGTTGATCGGACAATGACCAATCGAAAGCGCCCGAGAATCTTCGAGCCCGACCTGCTGTGCCACCGCACCACCACCAGGAAACATTGGATCTAGGAACACTCTGTCTGCCTGCCTAGGTACCTATCCATAGAGAGCCTGCAAACTGCCAAGCGACCAAGAGTGCAGGCCACCACACATCTTCCAGAGGTAATTCCAGCATCACCGCCGCGTGAACGATCACAATGCCCAGGTCGGGTCCGTTTCCCGGGGTCCCGTGTCTTGGAGGCATCCCATCCCGCATCGTTGGACGCGTGCCCCACGCCCTCCTCATCTCTCTCCCCTCTTCCTCCGTCCCACTGCAGGCTCCCGTTGCCTCGATTTGGCACTCTGGATCTGCTCTACGCTCGCCCTCTCCCCTGCTCTGCTGTGCAATGTGACGAGGGCCCTTGCTGACGAGCTAGGCGTGTGAGGGCAGGAGATTGAGATTGCTTCTCTGCAGGCTCCGGCACTGGGCATTGAGCGTGTCTTGGCTGCACTCCCTGCTCCGTCGCAAGAATGTCTACATATACAAGGGGCTCCAGCCCCCGAAGGGCAGCTGCCATGGTCGGCTCTTCACGATCCTCATCCTCTCTGCCCCGTCCCGCCATCCTCCTCGCCGTCGTCATCGCCATTGCCGCGACGATGGTCTACTGGAAGGCTCTCTTGTACGCGGGGCTCGCGTCTGCCGCGGCCCTGTTCAAGAAAGATAATGCCACGGCCGCCGGCCTGGACCAATGCCCGGGCTACAAAGCGTCCAATGTTCGCGTCACGGCGACTGGTGTGACGGCCGACCTGACGCTGGCCGGCGCTGCCTGCAATGTCTATGGAACAGACCTTCCGCACCTCACTCTGCAGGTCACCTACCAGACTGGTAAGCCAAACATCCGTTAACACCACAGAGCACCACTTGAACAGATGCTTCGGGCGCCTGCCTTGATTATTTGATATTAACAGCAAACGCGTGATCAATGGGCTTCATGCTAATCTGTTCCATCATCAGAGGACCGCATCCATGTTCTCATTCAGGACCAGGGCAACCAGGTCTACCAGGTCCCCGAGTCCGTCTTCCCCCGCCCGGGAGGCTCAGTCTGGTCCCAGACGAGCAAGCTCAAGTTCAGCTACACGGCGAATCCCTTCTCCTTCAAGATCACCCGCGCCAAGACTGGCGAGGTCATCTTCGACACCTCGGCGGCGTCTCTCGTCTTCGAGTCTCAGTACCTCCGCCTCCGGACCAGCCTGCCTGCAAATCCCAACCTGTATGGCCTGGGAGAACATTCTGATTCTCTGCGCCTGGAGACGACCAACTACATCCGCACGATGTGGAACCAGGACAGCTATGGCATTCCCAGCCACGCCAACCTCTACGGAACTCACCCGTTCTACCTGGAGCAGCGAGCCACTGGTGCTCACGGTGTCTTCTTTCTCAACTCCAACGGCATGGACATCATCATCAACAAGGACGCCTCCGGCAACCAGTATCTCGAGTACAACACCATTGGCGGCGTTTTTGACTTTTACTTTGTCGCCGGCCCTACGCCCGTCGCGGCTGTGCAGCAATATGGCGAGTTTGCGGGCTTCCCAACCATGCAGCCATACTGGGGCCTAGGCTTCCACCAGTGCAGGTAGGATGAACACGGACATGTATCAGCACGTGAGATCAAGAGAAGAAGCTGACACGTCTTGTCACAGATACGGATACCGGGACGCCTTTGATGTCGCCGAAGTTGTCCAAAACTACAGCTTGGCCGGCATTCCCCTGGAGACCATGTGGACGGATATTGATTACATGGACCGCCGCCGCGTCTTCACCCTCGACCCGGACCGCTTCCCCCTGTCCAAGATGCGAGAGCTTGTCGACCACCTGCACGCGCACGACCAGCACTACGTCGTCATGGTTGATCCGGCCGTTGCCTATCAGAACTACCCGCCTGCCAACCAGGGCCTCGAGGACAACGTATTCATGCTGCGGTCTAACGGCTCCGTGTGGATCGGCGTGGTGTGGCCCGGCGTCACCGTCTTTCCCGACTGGTTCTCGGCCAACATCACGCGGTACTGGAACGGCCAGTTCCAGACCTTCTTCGACGCCGACACGGGCCTGGACATTGACGCCCTGTGGATCGACATGAATGAGCCCAGCAACTTTCCGTGCAACTTCCCCTGTGACGATCCCTACAAGGCCGCCATCGGCTATCCTCCGGCCCCGCCGCCGGTCCGTGCCCCGCCTCGTCCGCTGCCCGGCTGGCCGTGCGACTTCCAGCCCGGCGGCTGCCCTGGCAAACGCGAGGCCCAGCCCGAGCCTCTGCACGCCATCTCAGGCATTGATAGCCAGCCCATGAGCATCCGCAACATCGTCCCCAACAACAAGCCCAGCAGTGGCAGGGGGGACCAAAAAGGGCTTCCCGGCCGCGACTTGCTGTATCCCAAGTACGCCATCCACAACAAAGCCGCCTACCAGGACTCGTGGAACGCCGACAAGGGCGGCATCTCCAACCACACGGTCAACACGGATCTGATCCACCAGAACGGTCTTGCCATGTACGACACGCACAACCTCTACGGCACCATGATGTCGTCGGCCTCCCGCGACGCCATGGAGGCTCGCCGCCCCGGCCTCCGCCCCCTGGTCATCACGCGCAGCACTTTCGCGGGCGCGGGCTCCAAGGTCGGCCACTGGCTGGGCGACAACATGTCGCAGTGGAGCTACTACACCGTGTCCATCCGGACGATGCTGGCGTTCACGTCCCTCTTCCAGTTTGGCTTCGTGGGCTCCGACGTGTGCGGCTTCGGCGGCAACACCAACGAGGAGCTGTGCGCGCGCTGGGCGTCGCTGGGCGCCTTCAACACCTTCTACCGCAACCACAACGACTATGGCAACATTGGTCAGGAGTTTTACCGCTGGCCGTCCGTCGCCAGCGCCGCCAAGAAGGCCATTGACATCCGCTACCGCCTGCTCGACTACATCTACACGGCGCTGTGGCGCCAGTCCACCGACGGCACGCCCGCCGTCAGCCCCATGTTCTTCCAGTACCCCGAGGACCCGGCTACCTGGGGCCTCGAGCTGCAGTTCTTCTTCGGGCCGGGCCTCGTCGTCGCCCCCGTCACGCAGCAGGGGTCCACCAGCGTCAACGTCTACCTGCCCAGCGGCGTCTTCTACGACTGGTACACGCACGCCCGCATCGACGGCGGCGCGACCAACCACGCCATCACCGGCGTCGACATCACCTCCATCCCGCTCTTCATCCGCGGCGGCGCCATCCTGCCCCTCCGCGTCAAGTCCGCCAACACCACCACCGAGCTGCGCAAGCAGAACTTTGAGCTCCTCATTGCGCTCGACGCCTCGGGCTCTGCCTCGGGCGAGCTGTACCTCGACGATGGCGTGTCCATCCACCAGCGCGCCACGACCCACGTCACCTTCACGTACAAGAAGGGCATCTTTATCCTCGGCGGGTCTTTCAGCCTGAGAGTGCCATTCCTCATTTCCAAGGTGACTATCCTGGGCGGCAGGCCCTCTGCCGCTGCCAAGTCGAGCAGCGCCGGAGGCAGCAACAGCGAGTCGTTTGACGTTCACTTGCCGTTTACTGGTCCGGCGTCTGTGAGGATCGGTTAGCCATAGACGCATATTGTAGCTTTGTTTCTTTAGGTAGGTAGACTGCATAGGTGGTATTGTATTTCGGGGGGTTCTGGGCACACAGTGGCCACTTCTCCTACGCTTTGTTGGGCTTTATGTGTATACCCCCCTTTATGTCACCTATTCTGTTGAGATACTCAGTAGCGCGCTGTGAAGTAGTAGCTTTGAATAAGAGTATTGATGGACCCTAGAGGTCTCTTGATTCCATTTAGTGTACGAAGCTTCTACCATCGAAGAGAGAGAAGACAACCTACCAGGTAGCAACGAGTGACACAGAAGAAGAGACACGCCAATGACATATAACTGATTAGCTCACTCTTATTCTACATACCTAGATAAGTGCCTAGTTACCATCTAACTAACTCACATAGGTCAGGCAGACAGCCTTCTTCCCCATTCCCCCTTTCTTCACGATGCATGCTCCTAACCCTTTGCGACGTACATACATCAGTCAGTCTCAAACTAGCGCTCACCTACATGTAACACTGCCCTTTCTGGCAAAGCAGAAATCCATAGCATTGGAAAAGAAAAGAAAGAAAATGAGTGAGAAGAAAAAAAAGACAGATTCCGATTTATTCACCTTTTGGATGCATTGCCTTGCAAATGTCAAACCGTGCCAACGCCTTCCATGAAAACGGGAATGATGATGAGTAATGACAGAGAAAGTAAGTAAAATGAAAGGTGGTAAATCACCAGGTATAGCAAGCCTTGAGAAACATTTAGGGTACAATAGAACAGCGATAAAACGACGAAATGACTGACGAGGTTGGGGTTGAACAAGACAAGACACAGATGCAAAACAATGACCATATGATAGATATGCACACAACAGGCAGGCTTCCGTATCGTTAGCTTTCGTGAGTCATTCTCAGATTCGCACACGCAACAGACGCAACAAACGCAACAAAGACTCTGGTGGTAGGTATACATGCACAGGGGAGGAAACAAAGGGAAGAGACGCCAGGTAGAACGTGTCGGGTATTTCTGTGGTAAATGAGACGAGAATGTTCGAACAGATGGCAACGGGTCATGCTTCGGCCATTTCCATGTCATCACCCGACTTCACCTCCATGACCTGGGCTTCATCCGCCGAAGACGCATTTTCCGGTAGCGAAGCAGTCGACTCCTTGTGCTCCATGGGTGGCTGAGAAGAAGTACCAGCGCCGTTATTCACGCTGCCGTTGCTGCCGCCAGCCAGGGCGCCGTTGGTGGCGCACAATCGGTACTCGCCGTCGCTCTTCAGCTCGATGATGCCTTCGTCAAGGGCCCAATCCGCTAGCAGCTTGTCGACGCCCAGCCGCTGGCCCTCGCCCTTCTCCATGTGCCGCCCGACATGCTCCGTCCACTCGTCCCAGGACGTCGGGCCCTCGAAAAGGGCATTGCATTCTTTCCTGGGGCAGGCCGACTTTTGGGGAGGATGTCGCCTCGTCACCAGGCATGACTGCTGCATCTCCTTGACATGAGCATCCCACTCGGCCTGCAGCTTGCTGTCGCCCTTGGCGATGGTCCTCTTGATCTGGAACGGCGCATGCATCCGGCGGAGATGCTGGGTGAAGAGATCCTTGCGGTTGAACTCGTTGCCCTTGCCTTCGGCCGAGCTCTGCGGACATGCAGAGCAGCAGTAGTACGTTAGGCAGAGGTGCTGTGAAGCAATGTGCCGTTTCCACTCATTCTTGGACCCAAAGGTGCTTGCGCAGCCGGCAAAGGAAAAGGCACAGGGGAAGGGGCGCGTGTGGGCTGCGGCAATGTGCTTCCGGAGCGACGAAGAGTCCTTGAACGGCGCATGAGTACAGTGGTCACAGCGAGTTTCCTGCTTGGGGAGAGACCGTCTAGGCGCCTTGATGCGCGAGTTGGGGGCTGCATCCACAGCCATGGCATCGGCGCCTGGTTCAAGGGCGTCCCGGGGTATGTTTGGCTCGATATGCCTTTCCGGAACGCCGTCGGGAAGCGTTGTGCGATGCCGGACCACAGGAGGCGCAGGGGGCTGAGCTGCGACAGGCGGCGGAGGGCCGTCGTCACTTCTAGGTCGGACGTGGCTCAGCGCCTTGAGCTGTTCTGCGGCTTCTTGCATCTCTGCGGAGTCCTCGACCTCGTCCTTGGGCTTGATTGGCGCGATGCTTCGAGGAGCGGCCGGGGTATAGCTTGCCGCCCCAGACGGGCTGCTTTGCGACCTGTATTCGAGGCCATCGCGAGCCGCAGCGTGAAGGTACTGGTCGGGTTCGCGTCGCGCTCGCGAAGGTGTTCCCGCCGCCAGCTCCCTGGCCTCCAGCAGAATCCGGCCGTCCTCCACCTCCTTCGCAGATGGACGGATGCCGGCGGGCCCAACCAGCTTCTCATACAAATGGATCATGTTGTGCGAACTAATGTAGCCCAAGAAGCAGCAGACCTTGTCATGCTGAACCACATTCCAGATGGAGTGAGGCATGGAGATGAGCAGCATCGTGGGGGGCCCCAGAAACATGCCCTCGACAGCAATGGAAGCGCCAAGAGTTGGCTTGTTCTGCAGCCACTGGTGAAAGTAGGACATGTCTGGACTCGCGTCTCCCACGAATGTTGTGCAGACCAGTATCCGCGGCTCTTCAAACCTAATGTCAGCTACAGACTCCGGGTCGATGATTTGATCTTCGCGAGAGCGGCTGCTCTGCCCATCCGACGCATCGCCATTCGTCGAAGCCGCAGGCGGCCTGCCGACCATGGACGCCAGCATCAGGTTCTGCCCCTTGCCAGGGGTCAGAGTGAAGAATATGGGCATGGTTGGCGAAGCAGAAGTCGTCGCGCCATTCGCCAGAGGTGGGCTTCTCGCGCGCTGCTGCTGCTTTATGCTACGGGTTTCCTCGTATAATCTCTGAACGCTGAAGGGTTGCTGTCCGCCACTTAGCCTGTGAAGTGCCTCCACTAGGAAGGATGTGAAAGATCGTTGACCGGGTTCGTGTCGAGACTTGTGCTCTGGAGAGCATGCAGCGATGGCTTGCTTGACACCGTGGCTACCCGCAGCTGCGGGCTCGGGATCGGCGCATGTGTCCAGGAGCAGGAGAATGTCGGACTGGGCGTCTTCGAACAGGCACCGCACGCCATCCCATTTGAGCTTGGCAGCGTCTTCGCGCGCATTGCTATATGGTGAAATGATTAGAAATGACGGTGATGACAACGGCGTGCGCGATGTAGAGATAGAAAATCTCTAGAGAGAAAAAGAAAGGCTATTGGTTTCGCGGTACGGCGACCGCCTCTCGGAATGGTAACTCACCAGGCCCAATATAGCTGGCCATCGGGACCGGCATATCCGTGACCAGCGTAGTATATAATGAGGAGGTGGTTGGGCCTCGCATTCTCGAGAAAGGAAGCCATCTGAACGCCGAGCTTGATGCTGGGGTTTGGTACGGTGGGGATCTGCCAGCGCTGAGTGGTGAAGCCGTACTGCTTCTGCATGACCTGCTCGACCGCGGCCACATCCTCGTCCACCGTGTGGTCCTCTTCCCAGCTTAATAGCAAGACGGAGACGTCGCTATGAGGCGGACGCTCCGTCTGGCGCTGTATCAGCATGGCGGCATCCTGCAGATGACGCGCAAAGGCCTCGAAGTCCTGTCGTTCGGCAAGGGCAGCATCGTGTACGGGGTATGACTGTTGCTGTGGCGGCTGCAGGTGAACAGAAGGTCAGCAAACAAGCGTTGGCAACGATGCGAGCAGCCAAGCGGGCAATGGCAAGCATGGCCAATGGACTAGGAACAGGGCTCTGATAGCGAAGGCGTTGGAACGGCTCGGGGAGACGCAAGGCTAACCGTTTCGTGAGAATACTGCGCAGCAGGCTGAGGGTTGGTAGCGACAGAAGTGGTCACTTTGGGAGCCAGCTTCCGCTTTTTACTGGACGGTTCCATGGACAGGCTCGGCAAGGAGGACAGCGAAGGTCGAGAAGGTGCGCGGAGAGGAGGCGACGAAGTGACAGGAAGACGAGAGCTGTGGCAGGTCTGCAGTCGGCGAGAGACCCCAAGGCTGGGTCAAGGCCAAGGCGGAGCAGTCGGCAGGACAGCTTCGAATTGCCGAGCTTCTGGATGGAAATCGACGACTGGCGGCGAGTGAGCAGCGAGGTCGAACACGCGGCAATTGGGGGGGTTCGAGGCTCGGCAGAAGGCTCGAGAAGAGGAGGGGGACAAGACAAAACGACGGCCGGCTTGGGACAAGGCAGAGAATGAGGTGAGACAGCAACAGGGCGAGAGAGCAGGAAGTAAGGCTGGGGGGGAGGGGGGCTGTTGAGCGAGTGCTTCAAGGCTCTGGCGGCGAGGCTGTAATTCTGCCAGGCGGGCCTGCTCAGTGGCCACAGGTACCGGTACTTCCAATCCCAAGCGGGAGCCACCAGCGCTCTCCAGCCCGGCGCTGCGGTGCCGGCCCAGTGCTTCGTAGGCGCTGCAGAGGCCACTGGAGGGGCCGCTGAGGGAAGGGCGAGCCGCTATAATTTTAGCTGGCGGGCCGCCTGGCTGTGCAGGCCTTGGGGCGGCGCTGCCATTGGCCGGTAGCCGAGGTTGGACGGGGCCTTGGCCAAGCCTGGTCGACCAGCGAGCCTCTCGGGGCTGCAGCAGCTCTTCTGCTATTGATCAATGTCTGGATCAGATCCCAATTGCTGGGGGACCAGCTGTGGCGGCAATTGGCTTGTGCGAGGACGGGCGAGGGCAACCCGTCGAGCCCGTGAGCAGCACCGCAGGTACCGGTACCTACTTACCTGCCCCAGCATCGGCACGAGGTGCGCGCATCGCCAGTGGCGGCTTCAGGTCTGATACGTGTGCCTAGCATCAAATGACATCCCACCCGACATCAAATGACATGACACGACGCACACGGCAACTTGGCAGGAATGTACCTGTACCTAAGCCTATTCGAGGTGCTGATGCTTCTGCTGGACCATCCTTTCCAGCTTCCATCTCTTCTTCCAGGCCAAGCTCAATACTACATAGGTACCCAGGTATGCAGCGGGCAGATGGAGTGACGCATGTTCACGACCGAGGGGCGGTACTTGTAACTGGCTAGGCGTGGCGGCGCATATGCATGTACCGGCACCAGTACTACTACAATACTTCCGCCAGCCGTCCTGCAGGCTGGACATGGAGTCTTCAACAAGACTCCAGGGGGGGCGTCATTCATTCATCCCACGACAGCGGACCGGGGCGTTTATTTGGATGAAACGACAAGGGTGCTGCAGAGGCTCGGGAGCTGTGACATTTCGTTCTAAATCTGTCCAGGGTGCTGCTCGAAGTGGCTTTGGACGTGCCCTGTACCAAGTACATGTACCTGCTGGCTGGTGTCTGTGTCTGCGGCACACGTACGAGTACCTTAGCACGGCGAACATATGTATACATGCATGTATGGAAGGTACGAGTACAAGGCGCTCCAATGTTGTGCAAAGCTCGTGCTATCATGGATCTGTATCGACTTGAAGCGGCAGTCGGTCTTCGTTGTTCACGTTTCCTAAAGGACATCAGTCACTAACAAGCCTGGCAATGATACAATCGATGCGGTCATCGCCGGTGATTGACGGCAAACCACCGATCGCTCCTCACCATAGTCAGGTGGCTTTCTCCTGAGCATGTCGACTATGATTGATCTCTCACCTCACTGGCATTGACGATTGATCCTTGTCCCGTCTGGGTGCTCAAGTTGCAACATGGGCATTAGTCAATCTGCTAAAGCAGGCACTCGTGATGCTGAGTACCTTACATGTAGCATTCGCTAACACTGTTACGTCGACAGTGTTGAAGGGCAAGATACCAGGTACTGACTCCTTGACAATGGCAGAGGACGGTGAATCTGCGATATTCCTGCCCAACTGAAGGATGCATGTACATGTATCTAGAAATGCTGGCACGACAATCCGCAGCTTGGCATCCACACACCGAAGCGACGGGCACACCAATCTCTTGAAGGTTCTCCCTGCATATTCAAAAACGTGATGAACACTTCAATAATTGTCATACGATAGTTTGCTCCCGCGTACTTCATGCTGCTTTGCCAATTTTAATCTCGTTTGGCCCGTGGCCCAGGCGCTGGAAGATGCCGAAATCGAGTCGATATTGCCTGACAATACATACACACCTACCTTGACCTTGAAGTGCCGGCACCCTTGACAGTTCCGCTGCTCCAGAAAGCACGGCCTTTGCACAATTCAACGTCCACTGCTTCGCCCGAGAATCTTCAACAGAAAGCAGTCTTACCGCAGGACTGCAGCCCCGGACACGCATACGGCTGCCAATGGCTGCAAACCCTTGGGACAGCGTGGAACTCCCGAGTCGATAGTCCCGGTGCCAGCTGAGGTACATGTATAGATACCAATTCCTGGCAAATGTATACGACTGGCCCTTACATACCTGAGGAGTACCACCTAGTCTCAGACAGACTGTCTCCGTGCCCTGTGGCTAGCTACCTACGTGTGGGCTGACGCGTTGCATCCAGTTCTGCAGCCGCTGCTGATTCGCAACCATAGCCCGAGCCATCTTGCATCTAGCCTCCACAGTGCAGCCAGGCGTTCCATCTCGCAGCCTCGCCCTAGAAGTACAGATGTTACGACGACGAGCAACTTCCTAGATACATGTTGTCAAGTGTTTGTCTCCAACCGGGACAGAGAGGAGCGCGAATCGAACGTCCACCGCTAACAGATGGATACATGATACTATTGCAGACCTTTGGCGACGTCCCTGATCGGCAGTTTCTCTGGTAGTTGTTCGTCAAGTGGGTAAGGTGCCAGACTGCCAACTTGCTGTCCCGATGTCGCGTCCCCCTCCTAGGCTGAGCCGGGTATAGCTTCAATGTACGGGTTCGCGATGTGGCGGCATCAGGGTGTCTCGGGAGGCCATGGGTCTAGAACCGGGGCTGGGCTGGGCTGCGAGGCTCACCGTGATATAGACATCAATTCGCAGGAGTCTCAGCCCCGGTCGCCTGAGTCGTCTCCCTCGAGAGTGGCATGGCGGTGCTATCGAAATATCTTCTCGTGCCGGTACCTGAAGCAATTCGCAAAATCAATAGCAGTACGCCTGCTCATTGGCTCAGGGGAGCAATTGGTTCGAGGTACGCTATGGTCAGAGCTCCGAAGCTCATCGCTGGCCATGACCTCTTGGTATCTTACCAGGTTTCCCAGCCCGCGGCTGTGGGTGGCATCGCTTAACGCCTTGGCTACATATACCTGCCTACTGTCCGTCCGTCCGGAGTCGGAGTACTACCTACATACAAGCGAGAGTGCTATTTGCGACGATGGCACGATTGCAGACGACATGACAAAGTACGGGCACCTACGTGTACAGGCACGCCAGTGCTGCAGGCTCAAATGTAGGTGAGATTTACCCAGATACCGTTACTGCACGGATTTCTGGGTACATGTACATAGGTATTCTCCAGCATCATTGGACCGTCGTTGGCAAATGGAAAGTTTGCCATGCCGCCTGAAAACACACACACATTGAGTCTACACACGGCTATCACTGACACCAGACTATTGCCTCTCATTCGCTGTGTATCCACGAAGGCTAGCGGCTAATGTGCCGGGCTTGTTTCGCAGCAATGAAAGAGAAGACAAACTCCCGCAATCAGGTTCAGGATGGAACTAACCGAGCTGATGAGGATTAGAATGTTTGCCGTCGCGACGGCCTAGATGCGCAAGGAGGCGGCACATCCCCTGTGCTGAACGCAATATTGACAATTAAGAACTACCTACAGTAGGTAGTGACGCGGCTCAGCTTCTGTTTGAGTGATCCGCTCAAAAGCGCCACGACCCCGGGTTGCGCCTCAGCCGAAAGGCTGATAGACTTGGACTTGTAAGATATCCTTGGGAGGCTGTTTCTGTCGCAGCTGGGCATGGACGCTAGTAGTAGTATCTGGGATCTCATGTCTCAGCCGTGCCCATGTATCACGGAGTGGCGGAGGAGGGTAACCGTCCCTTTATAAAGAACGGTGGGTGGCAGGACATGCCACAATCAAGACAGCCTTGTTGCTCCATGAACCTTCTTCAAGTCGCTGCACGGGATTATCACCATTTATACCATGGCTAGGTGCACCTCACGCATCTACAGCAAGACACTGTGTGCAGGAGTGAGCCGTTTTTGCACAGATAGTTGATCTGCTGGCATTCAATGCATATTGTAAAAATCTTGTGGACGTTGCTGGTTATGTAGCCCCGCCGAGACAAGACGCTGAGATCTTCTGCCGGCGTCATAACTTCGATGACATCTTTACAGTTGATGTATGTATGTACATGTATGTATTGATATTGTATCATCCGCTTCAAAGAGGCAGCCGAAACAAGAAGAGTGCAAATCTTTTCTTCAGAGTGGTCAATTGCAGCTCGCCATTCGCCGGTCCCTCTTCTCTTGCAGGAAGAAGACGTTCTAGATCCTCTATTGGAGCACACGGCAGCGTCTACCTCCCTTAAAAGTTGCACAACGGACGCTGAGCCCCGCGGAAACGAGGCCTTGACTTCCTAAACGAGGCGTGTGGCGATGATACTTGGACGGTGTGCTGCCGAATCAGAAGCCGCAGGACGTTGCCCAAAAGACTCAAACGGTTCGAGGATCGCCATCGTGGGGCTTCTTTCTAGGGAAGTCTCAACGAATTGGTCATACTTGGCAGCCTGCTTCAACTTTGTGATGGATGCTACTAATCTGTGCTGTCAACTTGCCACTGCTTCTGCAGAGCGTGAAAACGAGTACGAGAAACAGAGTTCTGTGGCCACCGCATAAGGTACAAGTACTAATCAACGGCGATCTCCAGCCACAGCTTTTGGGGTGAAGCCACAATCTATTTTTGTTTTTGTTTATGTTTTTGCCCGTCTTCACGATGATAAATTGTTCTGCAGCCAGTGTCGAGTCGAGTCGCTTCAGAGAAAGGCTCCCATTGAGCCGCCTAATGGCGAGTTAGGGAGTACTAGGTGATGATGATTCAGGCTTGCTTGGCGTGCATTGTCTATTGCGCTGGCTTTTCCCAATTCAACACTTCTTAAGAAGATGAGGCATCCTGGCACCTGCTTACCTACCTAAACCGTGGCGAAAATTAGACGATGAATTTCATCTTCTGGTACGAAATCCTGACGTAGAAATGCCAAGCCAGGCGACGGTGCAATGCTACCTTTGTGAGCTCTCCGCACTTATCCAAGGTTTGCCCATGCAGAGCGAAGAGAATGGCTAATGAATGTAAGGAACAGCTTGCTGAGATGGAAAGCTATGAGACACGTCTCGCACGGCGATGAGATTCCAGAGCCTCGAGGGACCAGTAGCTGTGAATCCTTGCGGAACTTGAGGCGCAGTCTAACTTGTGTGTGTAATCTTTTGATCCTCTTCCACATGTTCCACATGGGGCATTATTCAGCTTACCCATATGTTGTCGGTATCGCGCATGAAGGCAGACTTGAGGGCTTGTCTCTGCATCCCTTGAATCGGAGCCAGAATGATTCATTTTGATCTTCTTGTCCTTTCTGTATTCGATAGGAATCGAGATTGATGAATCACGATATGCAGCCGTCACGTGGGCCGAATGCTACCTCTTGCACCTGGGTGAGACGCTTGACTCCGAGTCCATCATCGACCGCCCCGCCAGGTACGAGCATTGAAGTACACGATACCCTGATGAGCGCCAGTGTGCACAGCCTCAGATGGCTCTCAAAGCTTTTCCCAACGAACAGACACAAAGGTCTCTAGCTTCCAACATGTAGCTACTAGTAATCGTATAGGTAGGTATCTTTCTGCAAACCACCAGTAACGGGCAAGGTTGGGTTTGGAGGTATGTCGACGAGCTGTTGTCAAGGATGCAGAGTCAATCATTCATACCTACAGGTAGTAGATGTAGGTATTATGTGCATACAAGCTCCCACACAGCTGAGAGAAGCTTATCAAGCCTTCAGTTTAGCCGTCACACTCGGCCTCCTCGTGACGGCAGCAAGTGAGACTTGGCATCCCGCCAGCACGTCTCTTCTCACGGCTGGGTACCTACCTGCGCCCATTCTGCTCTTTTCTGGTCTCTCCCGGCTTCTGGTTGCTTCTCTTCTCTAGTCTTCGTAAGGAGTTCAAGGTATCGCATAGAGCCTTCTTGCTTGCATGACAGCTGAGTCTAAACACGGCCTTGTGAGGTATCTTTCATCGACGGCATCTTCGGTACTGGTCAAGCGTCCACACTCCCGAACAGCCCGTTCCTGACGGATCACCCACCCTCTCCAGCGAGCAAAAGGCGTTCGTCTCACGGCGAGACAGTGACCAGCCGGGGGCCCACAGGCGAAGAACCAGCGGCCCTGTGACGTTGCCTGGCGGTTCCAATTCGTTCTCCAAGGCTGCGCCTCTTGCCCCTCCGCCTCGCTGAGGTACGAGCTTACCGCTGCCAGGCGCAGGTACTGGGGACCCGTGGATTGCGTCACGGCGCCTTGAGGACGGGACAAAGCAGATGACGGGGAATCAGTACATACATAACAACCATGACAGTCGCAGCGCTGCCTTATTAGGCTGCTTCTTCTGCTCTTGTTGCTTTTTGATACTTATTTTTCCGCTTTTCTTTTTCCCTCTCTTTTTGCTCCCTCTGAAGAAGGCAGCTTATAGCTCACTGCGCATCTTCATGCGTGAGATATCACTGTGCGACCACTTTTGATTTCTTACAAAGTCGCAAACTCGGCGACATCCCGTGATTCGCTTTGCGACCGCGACTCACTCGATTGCGACACAGCAGCGCCAAAGAGTTGGGCGGTACCGGAAATTGATTGGTCGCATCCCAGACAACGTGGTTCTGATTATTTCTCACTTACTTTGAGAGGCCTCAGACCCGAAAATTTTGCCCAGGCAGCGTTGCTTATCCGGATCGCGAGGAGCAGCAAACTCGAGCTGGTTGTGGGGTTGGCGCTGATTCTTACTTTGGTCTAATACTATGACGCTCGAGGAGCCGACGCCTGACCACAACTTTGACCTCGCACCTCCTCAAGCACCGAAGAAGAAGAACCGCAGACCCGACTTGATGGACTCGTACGGAGTCCGGAGGTCGGACACCACCAAAGGGCCGCCTCTGCGCATCCTCTCACTCGGTAGGTTTCCTCTCGTGATTCCTTGTAGTTCTTGCCACAGCTGCTGACCATCGGTACCTGCGCTCGCACAGACGGAGGAGGCGTTCGCGGCTACTCCATGCTCATCATTATCCAGGAACTCATGCACCGCACGTTCGTCGAGATCGAAGGCCGCGCCCCCCGCCGCCACGAAATCCCGAAGCCATGCGACCACTTTGACCTCATCGTCGGCACCGGCACCGGCGGGCTGATCGCCATCATGCTCGGCCGGCTGCGCCTGGACTTGGAGACGTGCAAGGAGCTGTACGTTCGCTTGACCAAGATGGTCTTTGAGACAGACAAGACGATCGCCGGCATTCCATATCGATCTACGCTGTTCAAGGCCAGCAAGCTGGAAGAGGCCATCAAGCAAGGAGTCTGGGAGCATACCGTCAACAACAAGGAAGGCAACGACAGCGACACCGAAGTTGTGAACCCGCTCAACGCTCGTCGCTCGGGTTCGGGCTCTCCAAGGCGACATTCCAGCAACGCCAGCACCATAAGCTTCAGTGCGCGCCATCCGTCCGGCCAAGTGTCTTCTCGGCCAACCCCGCTACGATACGGCAACGGGAACGCAAGGTTATATGACGCAAGGGAAAATAGGTGCAAAACGTAAGAGACAAACTGCCTTTTGCTAGGTGATGACACAGCTGACCAGAGACACCACACAGCGCCGTTACGGCAATGTATAAGGGCTCCGCGCGAGGGACTCCGCCCGTGCTGCTACGATCCTACGACTCACGCAAGGAACCGCCACCGGAGTTCGATTGCAAGATCTGGCAGGCCGGGCGGGCGACTTGCTCCATCGGCCTCGCCTTCAAGCCCGTCCAGATTGGCCAGTCATTATTCCACGACGACGGTGCCGGCACCTTCAACCCCGCCCCAGAGGCTCTCGACGAGGCCGTCCTCAACGAATGGCCGGGGCGTGATGTCGGAGTGTTTGTCAGCGTCGGGACTGGCAAGCGGCCCAGGGGAAGTGACGCAAATCAGCAGGTGTGGTACGAGGGCTTCCTGGGCGAATTTGCGGAAGCGCGAAGAAAAATGATTGCCAAGATCGAAGGCTGCGAGAAGATTCACGAGTACATGATCCGAGAGCACCTGGCGAAGCGTGGAGTGAATGTGGAAAACTACTTTCGCCTCAACGTCGAAGTGGGAGTCGGGGAGTTTGGAATGAATGAATGGAATCGGCTCAGCGACATCAGCACCGGCACTCGACGATACATGTCGCGAGCGGAAGAGCAGAAGATGATCCACGGCATCTCGACCAGGTTGGCCAAGATTCACAGAGCAAAGCTGCGATGGGAACGCAAGATTTCCAACGTGCCCGAGCTGGTCCAGTCGACGTCGGAGAGCAACTTTGAGCATACTTTTGCGGTCGAGCTGCCCGGTGACTCTCCCATAGGGCCTCTCTCGCACAGCCCGCACAGCCCGGCCAGTCGGTCGTCGTTTGACTCGGCGCCGGATACTCTGCACCTGCAGGCAAACACATTGTCCTCGCCTCGAGCCTCCAACGACCACATCCGGCCAGGAACCGGCCATTCACGGCTCGGAAGAATCAGCCCTGCCTCCGAGAAGGAGGTTGTGGTCGACTTGATGTCTCCGAGCCAGTACAGCAACAAGATACCCTATTCCGACGACCCAATCGCCATCACGAGCCCTGATGAGGAGCCAAGATATCAACTGCCTCTAGTGCCTCCGCCCCTCAGGCAAGCTACCCGACCGGAGCCGCCGCCTCTGCCTCCCAAGACGCCCCTGCCTGACTATGGCCATCGGCCTCGCGACTCCGAGACGTCCATCCCGCCTTACCCTCTTGACGACGATGAAGGCCCACCTCCGGTCAATATGGCACGAAAGCCGGATTACCTGCAGTATTAGTCGTGATAAGAACCGATGGAGGCGGATACTGCGGTTCGGAACGCGCCTGTGTTACGATGAGGCTTTGACTGTTTTCCTCTTCTTATTCTCTCTTTTACTTCATTCCTCTTCATTGTGTATATTCTCTGTTCTAAATGTGCTGGAGGCAGGGGGGATTGGGCTGGATATTTGTTTTACGATGTTATGCTTTGATCGATACCACGGATGACGGCGGCTTCAAAAAAATGAGCTACTATTTTGAAATGAGAGATGAGTGTGGAAGGGAATCGGGGAAGAATATAAAAGGTGGATAGCCTAGGAATTGAGCAACTACCTTGGGTGGTGCAATATATCTTCGACTCTTCTATCTCTTTCCTAGTGCTAATGGTACCATCGTAATGTACTTTGTAGCGAGTTGTGCAGGGAGAGAAGGCAAGACATTCTGATGCAAACGCTGTGTGTGAAGCGTATCGCCGCGCGTCAGCATATCGGATACGTTGTGGCAGTGATACAGCATGTTGAGTTTCTGAATCGACTCCGCTTGCTTGATGCATATAGCTTGGAAATCATGAAAACGTCTTCAATTTCTTGATGTTGGTGAGGAGTGGACATGTGTGCAGGGTATGTAGGTTGTCCATTACACGCAATAAACGTTTAAATCTGCAGCATCTGTATCCATCCACCCGCTGCCCGCTGCCCTGTGCGTTCAATGTTGTCACAGGCAAGTCTTACAGTTCTATGCCACCAAGGCATAGACTGCCTCCCACAAGTTCCCCTCTCGTCGTTGGTCGGAGGACTGAAGAGAGCCCAGAATGCCGAAGCGCTGTTGGGTGGCGAATGCCGCATGGTCTCGGCCTGCTGTTGGTTCCATTCTCCGTGCAGAGAAGGCATTGGTAATATATAAGTGAGTCAATGATAAGCGCCAATGAAAGTCGCATTCATCGTTTATCGCAGAAGAAATCGCATCACGGCCTTGGCAGCGAGCGGATCTGCGCCGGTGGTTGAACATGAGGCTCGGCGTTAACAGGCTTGCCGAGATGCGGGGGACGGAGAAGGCACGAGGTCGGAACCCCCACACGCGGGCAGCACTTGAGCAAAACGCCATGATTCATCCATCATTGTGGAGGGTTACTATATAAGTATTGGTAGCAGAAGTAGCAGCAGGATTTAGGGCCCTCAGTAGATGACACATCGAGGGCCTGGCAGGATTCAGATGATGCATTATGATGATGCGAAGAAGGACGGGGAAGATTCGATGGGAGAGAGGGGGGGGGGGAAAGGGCTGTCGGCAGCTGCACCTCGATGCACTGCAACGCTGCGTGTGGGAAACGACTTTCTTTTGGTGTGCTGTAGATACGCATCTGATCCGGTGAGCTGGTAGGAGAAGGGAAGCCAGCGAAATGAACAAGGAGAGATCCGTTCAGCAAAGCTACAGAATATAGGCGACAAACAAGAGATAGGCGAGAAACACTGCATCATCGACAAGAGGTGGACTTTGAAGGTCTAAAACAGATCAATCGTACTTACTAGTATGTAGAAGATCCGCGACCCGTCAGCCACAGCAGCCGGCTCACGGGCCAAATCAGACCATCCCGCTTAGTCGCCGCGCCGCCCTGGATCGGCTTCTGTGCCGCTTGGCAGATTGTGTGGGATTGTGGGATTGTGGCTCGCCGGATCGAGGTCACTGACTCGGAAACGATACATCGCATACATTGTGCCTTGCGGGTGGGAGATCCGGACTCTCGACTTCCGTCAAAGCAGCGAAATCCGTCTTACCAAAGGGCAAAAACGAGGGCGTGACAAGAGACAAAAATAGAAGAGAGACGAGAGACAAGACGAAACACAAAAAGAGGGGCGAAAAGCCAGAGAATATTAGTAGGTAGAGAAGCAAGAACGACCGAAAGTGGAGGGTGAAGAAGCAAGGGGAAAGGCGGAACAATTCTCCGTTGGTTCTCAGTCTTGGTCTTGGTCTTGGGTCTTGTCCTTGTCGCAATCCCGGAGGCAACGAGCGAAGCCGCCGCGGCCAAGGGACCCTGAAAATAACAGATTCGAGGTCGAGAGGACCTCTGCTTCTCATCTTCCACTCACTGGAATGCCGACGAGCTGCCCAGTCAAGCAAGCACCTGGCCTGGGCACGAAGCATCGAGATTCAACCATCCTGGTCTCTCCCTACTGGCGTTACACCCGACTTTCCTTTGCCCTCATCCGAGTCGCTGCGCTGCAATCGCCCGTGTCTCTAGTCGTCTGGAGAACGCTGGAAAAAAAGAGTCAAGGACAGCCTGATCGAACAACCGAAACCAAAAGCAGCGGGAGCAAGAGCTGAATATCGGGACGAGAGAGAGAGGAAAGAGACGAAGCTATTCGCAAATCAAAAACCATTCGATCTTCTGCGGTTTGGCGACAAAAAGCGCTGTCATCATCTTCTGGCTTCAAATCCCGCCCCTTTTGCCCCAGCCATCAGCGCTTGCTTCGACGCTGAGCCTATTTGCTGGAGCGCAAGCTGGCCGGCCTCGCGAATCTCGGCCTTCGACCTCTGCCTCGTCTCTCAACTCTTGCCTGTCCCTCTTTGGTCTGTGCGTGGCGAAAGGGAGAGCGACACAGCTCCGAGACGGCGCATTGCATTGTCCCAGTCGCCGCTGTCGTCTCTGTGTGACCGTCATCTGTGACCTCTTGTCTCTCTTTTCCCCTTCTTTTGTTGCTCCACCCCTCGCTGTCTGACGACAGCCGGCTCACGCCTTGTTCATCATCCCTCTCGGCGCATCCAGCGTTTTTGCGACGCCCGACTCGGCACATCGCCAACCCTCGACGCTCTTGCGCCTTTGCTCTGGGGAGAAGACACTTGACGACACCTCGCTTGCCGAGAGCCCGCATCTTGTCGCCGTCCGTGTCCGACATCGATCACTGCAGCTCGCAAGCTGCGCCCTGCGACCTGCAATCTGCAATCTGCAATCTGCACGCTACTGGAGCCCAAGCCTCACTCTGCCAATCTGTGCAAAACGCCCATCCGCACGCCCGTCATCCGTCTGCCGACTCGATAGGGCCGGACTGCCGAATCTCGACGAATCTGCGGCTGAGCGACGCGGCGCGAGCCGTCGAACCGTCATTCTTCGGGATCGCTGCATCACTCACTGGCTACATACGAACGAGAGAAATCTCGCTCCGTCTGACCGTCTGGTGTGGGAGTAGGGGGAGCGCACGCTTTTGATTAAGAAAGAAAACCGTCGTCGCTCTATTTCTTTCTCGATCTCCCCTCCCTAGTCCTCACCGCATCTCTCGGCTTCGCTTCCGCTCTTTTTGGTCCTTATTTTCTTTACTTTTTCCCTTTTTTTCGCTTTTCCTTTTTTCCCTCTTCTTTTCCGCCTCGCTACAGAATTCCGCCGCGCCGGCGCTCAGGTTTAATGTCCGATACGATGCAGCTGCAGGGGCACATGCCCCATCATCGCCGGTTAGGCGCAAACATGACCGTCAAGGCCAGGGGCAATTCGTGCACCGAGTGTCGACGTCGCAAGCAAAGGGTTAGTAGAAACGGCGAACTGCTGCTTTCAACGGCTCCCCAGACTGCTTTTTTGAGGGGCTGCTTTTTCGCATGTCCCAGGAGCGCCAGCAGCTAGATATATGTCATTGTCCGAACCCCCTGGCGATTGGAGATGGCAGGGGCGGCTATCTTCCGAGCAGATGCCGCCGAATCTCGTCATCGACCCGTGCATACGAGTCGCAGAGAAACCGGCGACTGGATGGACATGACGGCGAAAAGGATGGGCGGAAAGACGAAGCAGAGCGCTATTACTCTAGGGACAGCGATGACTGACTCGAGCTTGTCTTGTAGTGCGACCAAGGCCGCCCGTGTAGCAACTGTGTCCGTCGATTCCCGCAGCCGACGTGCGAATACAACGCGAAGCGAAGCACCAAGAGGTCAGTATTAGTTCCATCACTTCCCGCCGCATCGCAGCCCTAAACGAGAGCCGAAAGAGGGAGACCCTCAACTTGACTGGCACCATCCCACGTCCTTCCCACTCACATGCCCACCTGTCGTCTCTTTTGGGGGCCAGACAGGACAGGGACTTCGGAGAAAGCTTGTGGGGAGTGGACAGACTACGGCCTCAGCTCCCCCACAAGGCCGGACGTCCAACCCACTCCCCTTGTCAACTGTCTGCAGCTTCGCGGCAGATGCTGTGCTCTCCTCCAATCAGATGATACTCTACTCCAACAGTGACCCCCAAGAAAGAGACAAGAAAGGAGGAGAGGTACCCGAGAGGCAAAAGAAAAAGAAGAAATTATTACTGAGACTGCAGAAAGAGCATCAGCTCATACTTATTGCCAACTGCTCTTTCACAGCTCACTGACGCACGCACTTTTATCGCACACGATTGATTGCACTTATAAGCTGACATGATCGCCATCTCATCACAGGCCCGCGACTGCCGGATCCCCAGGCAGCAGCTCCAAGAACGTCAAGGTCGTGCTCGAGGGCGCATATGCCCACCTCAACCTATCCGACATCCAGGATGCCATTCTCCAGGTTGAGGGCGTTGTCGCTGCCAGCGGCATGGCGGACCGGCCCTCGGCTACACCGGTTGTTGCTCACGGCGAGATGATCTCCCTAGCCCAACCAGATGACCAGGATGCCTCTTCACACAGCTCTTCTGAGCCCTTTCGCGTCGTAGTCACCGACGAAACGGGCACCCTCAAGCCCAAGTCCGTTTTCGCCATGCTGCGCCTAATCCTGCAGGCCCGCCTCAAGGTCACCAATCGCATCGTCAACGACGAATGGAGCATTGACGGCCCTCAACTCATGCGCGCCTTGCAACAGGCTGCTCAACCGCCTGCCATGTTAGGAGGACTGGACGATCAGCTGCGGAACCTGCCCATGGAACCGACCAGGCTAAACATTGAACTGGTCCGAATACGTATGTGACAAGCTCTTGCCCCCTCTCTTCCCTCCCCCTACTCCCCTCGTCTGTTTCCTATTGCAGTAAGTCTTATGCGCACATGTACGTGTCCACGTAGGCGGACAAACACCTCCGATGCGCCATTCGAGTGGTGCAAGGACTCGGATCAGTGCTAGTGCTCTCCCCAGACATGCTGCATTTTCAAAGATGCATGGAGAGAATTGCCCGGCTTGGAGTCGAACCAGGAGCTGAGGGAAACAAAGTGATGACTAGTGTCAGGTACTGATTTGAAGCTTCCTCTCTAGATCTGCAGCTCTTGTCACGATTCAAGGCCTCCATCGACGGAAATCCCGATCCTGAGAGCCGGTTCATGAAACACTGGGTTCCGCTATCCATCAAGGATCCCCTACTACTACAGATCGTGCTCTACACGGCCGTATGTTTCCTCAAGGAGACGGGCCGAGTGCCCAAGATGCTCGTCTGGGCCTACAAGGGCGTGGTACACCGCATGCTCAACGAGCACCTTAGCTCTACCAGAACGCAGACAGGAGATGCCGCCATCATGGGAGCTGCCCAGATGGTCATGGACTCGTGGTACTGGGGCACCACCGAAGAGCTACGTGCCCACATGGCGGGCCTCAAGACCATGATCCGGATGAGGGGCGGTCTCCAGGACCTGGGGATGGGCGGTTTCCTGGCCAAGACGGTGCTCATGTAAGTGTCCTGCTATTCTTTTACTTGCAGTAGTTATCAGTACCCTTTTGCCGTGTTCTCCATCTCCCACCCCCTTGATCCGGAACAGTTAGCCTGTCTTGGTGTTGCTGCGTGTATGAACCAACATGCAGTGTCACTACCTTGGCAGCTGTTCCAGTTCCATCGCTACGCAGCCATCGAGCTCGCCTCTTTGGTTTTAGTGTGCTAACTATTCGAATCTCGCCCAGTCACGACATTGCCATCGCTATCGCTCATGATATTGAGCCGGATATTTATGGACAGCCGGAATTTGATTTTCGTGACGACTTCATGGTGCCCTATCAGACCTCCTTCAACTCCCCCTTCCTATCAGGGTGGCCACGCTTTGTCGACCCGGGATCAGCGTTGAAGCTTCACCGAAGCTCTGCCCAGATCCTGGATGATGTAAGACTTGTGATACAGACGGTACAATCCCTGCCGCCCTCTCCAACGGAGCAAGACTTGCAAAATGTCACAGAAACGGCTCTGTGGGCGCTGAACAGGCTGGATCGGATGCCGGAGAACATCCCGTTGTATGAGGAGGATGAGGAAACGAGCCGGCCAGCCGATGAAGGTGATGACTGCATGTGGGAGACGACAGGATACGAGGGGGCGGGGACTTCCCCAGCAAGCAGCTCGGACTACGATTCGCCCAGGAGCCACGATGCCGCGTCTTCCAGTAACGGTTCGCCACCTGCCCTGGTGGACGAGACCGCTAGTGCCCGGCTGGCCAGGACCAAGAACGACGCCATGTACCGCTGCATCCGCGTGACGGCTTCGGTCTACTACCGTGCCATTGTGGCCCGAGTGCCCACCACGGAGATTTTATCAGAGGCCGATTTCTTGAAGCTGTGGGAGCTGGTGTGGGAGGTGACGGTACCATTTTGGAAGACGGCAGTTGGCGTCTTCATTTGGGTCATGGCCGCGGCCGTGCCAAGCTGTCACAACTCGCCCCCTGCACGCTTCATCAAGACCCTGTCTGTGGTCGGCTGGATGACCATAGGGCTTGAGAACTGGCATGTCGCCATCAACGCGGCGAATGCAGCCCTGGGGCTGCAGCGCTGGCTCCGCGGCGGGTATCACCAGCAGGGCGGCATGATGTACGACAAGGGGCCGCTCGGCGGAGAGGTTGTAGTGGAGAAGCATGGGTTCATCTTGCGAGAGGCGAGTATCCCGGAGGTTGTTGCCAATGTGCGGTGCAACGACGACCACGAGCTGATTGAATGATTGAGTCGGCATTTTGTTTTGCTGTGTCAATTCGGGAACTCGATACATCTGGAAATGTCACGACGCGATAATAATACAACGACTGAGCGATGCACTCAGAAAGGGAGGGCGAAAAGTGCCGAAAGTGCCTCAACCAGAGGAGTGGCATACTGACAGGCATACGCGGCGGGAGACTTGAAGAGGAACTGAGGCGACCCTCCGATATTTCTGGCTTGCGGCTGCTTCCACACAAATACCCAAGCTGATACTCGGCATAACATGATCAGAGTGGCATTTACCAGGTCCGGCAATATATAACAATCGACCTATTTAATCACATTCTGTGCAGAGGTTGGGTCTTTCGAACGGGGAAGGGATATGGTGCAGCACGAGACGGAACGGCTCGGCTGGCAGGGTGGACGAGATTGTAGGGTGGCATGGCATTTTGGCTCATATGGCAAATTGGTCCTGTTGGAAGCGTTGATTTTGTGTTGATTTTTTATCTTCCTTTTGTTACCCTTGGATTTTTGGTATGATGAGGAGGTGTTTTGGTATCCCTCGGCAAGGTTTGTTGCATATGCGGTATGTGGAGGGAAGTGCAGCTCATGGTTATCGGAGGAGCAAAGGCAGAAAGGAGATTTCGCGAATCCAAAGGGTTTTATAGTTGCTGCTGCTGTCTTTGGAATTCCTCGGTCTATGGTCCAGGGTATGATTGAGTGGGTTTGTCATTTCGACTGTCAAGGCAGCTAGCTGTTCGGTAGTTGGTTCGATTTCGCTCGTTACTTGGTGAAATCTACCCTGCAATGTTAATGCAATATGACATCTTCGCAGGAACAAGCCACAACGAGCAATTGGCCTCGGAAGACATGAATCTTACACGATTAATACTCCCTTGAATCACACCCAACCGGACCTGGAAGAAGGTAGCTATCCCCAGCTCTGGCTGGCCGTACTGCTCTAGGTCGAAATTTCCGGTCATGGACGTCAAAAGGAACTACCTTTACGAGTTGAACCTAATTATACAAAGTTAATAAAGGAGATTCACAATGATCGTTGGTTCTCATTTCATCGGCGCTATATGCAAAGTGACTGGATTCAATCTGCCAAAGATGATGCACGACTTTACACGCCAGACCACCAATACGTCTCTCCCACCGTAAACTTACCCCTGAGCGCAACCCCATCCTTCGCTGCGCTGCTGTCGCTCACGATAACCTCATAGTCACCCTTTTCGACACACCACTGATCCCGCTCCTCATCAAAATACGCAGCGACGTACTTCTCCTGCTCCTCGATTGTCACCGCCTTCGTCTCGCCGGGCTGCAGTTCGACCTTTGCGAAGCCCTTGAGCTCCTTGACGGGGCGGTTAATCTTGGCCGCTTGGAGGGGCTTGACGTAGAGCTGGGCCACCTGTGCGCCGGGCACGGAGCCGGTGTTCTTCACGGAGAGGGACACGCTCAGCTTGCCGTCCTTGTGAGACACGGAGAGATTGGAAAAGGCAAAAGTGGTGTAGGACAGGCCGTGGCCAAAGGGGAAATTGACGTCCTTGTCGGCAAACTCGTAGTACCTGTACCCGACGTAGACGTCCTCGCCGTACAGCGTGCGCCCGGCCTCGGTGCGGAAGTTGAGAAACGCGGGGTTGTCCTGCAGGCGCTTGGGGAAGCTGAGGGACAGCTTGCCCGAGGGGTTGTAGTCGCCAAAGACGACGTCGGCAATGGAGTTGCCCGTCTCGTTGCCGCCGTACCAGGCCTGGATGACGGCGGGCGTGGCGTCGAGCCAGGGCATCTCCTCGGGGGTGCCCGTCTGCATGACGACGACGGTGTTTGGGTTCGCGGCGGCCACGTCGGCAATGAGCTGGTCCAGCACGCCGGGGAGCTTCATGCTCGCGCGGTCGGCGCCCTCGGTCTCCCAGTCGGCGTTAAGGCCCGCGCAGATGATGACCTGGTCGTGCTCCTTGGCGAGGGCGACGGACTTTTCGATTTCGGCCTGGTCGTCAATGACCTTGCAGCCGCCGACGCGGAGGGAGCCGTGGCCGGGGACGATGGTGTCGCCCTTGAGGGTGTAGGTGGGTGCGGAGCCGAACTCGATCTTGAACTTGTACGTGTTGCCCTTGACGAGATTGATGCGGCCCGTCTCCTCGCGGGTGGCGGAGCCGAAGAAGGCATCGCCGGGGACCTGCTTGGTGGCGTTGTCGACGACGAGCTGGTCGTCTACGTACGCCTTTGCCGTGCCGCAGACGACGAGGCCGAGCTCGTAGGTGCAGTCCTCGTCGGCGGTGTACGTGCCCTCCATGTCGGCGTACCACGTGTCTGCCGCCTTGGGGTGGTAGTAGTCCACCAGGTGCATGTCCGTCTTGGTGAAGAAGAGCTCGTCAATGTGCTGGCGGTTAGGGGTACCAGGGGGCTCGTTGAAGACCCTCCAGCGCATGCCCGGAGCGCCGTCGGGCGTGAGGCACTGCTCGCCTAGAATGGGGAGGAAGCGGTGGGTGTAGGCGCCGACGGTGTACGATGGCGGCGTCTCGAGCTGCTTGCTGAGGCCGTCAAAGGGAGTGACTGCGTAGTAGGCCCTGAGTGCGGCAGAGCCTCCGCCGTGGTATGTGGCCTGCTTGGCGTTGGGGCCGACAATCAGCGTCTTCTTCTTCTTGCTCAAGGGCAGAACGTTGTTCTCGTTCTTCAGCAGCACGATGCCCTCGTTGCCAACCTTCCGGAGGAGAGCTGCCGTTTCGGGGGTGTTGTTGACAGTCGTCTCGGGGCCGTTCTCCGTCACTCCGGAGGCAGCACACTTCTTGACGAACTGAAGAACTTCCCTAGCCCTCTGGTCAATGACGTGGATAAAGGGCTTTCCGTTGGAGACGTTGAACTTGAGTGTTTCTCCTCGGAAGCGTGGAGGTCCGGGCATCTCGAGGTCGAGGCCTGCCACAACGGCTTCTGTGGTACTGTATGTGCCGTACCAGTCGCTCATGATTAGGCCATCCCAACCCCATTCCTTTCGAAGCATCCCATCAAGATATTTAGGGTTCTCGCTGCACGACACGCCATTGATGCCATTGTACGCCGTCATGAACGCACCCGGCTGGGAGTCTCGCACAGCAATCTGGAACGGGAGTGCGTAGATTTCACGGAGAGCCCGCTCCGTGACGATGCTCTGCACCATCATGCGCCTGTCCTCCTGATCATTGCACAAAAAGTGCTTGATCGTAGCCTGCACTCCAGTGCTCTGAATGCCGCGGATGAGAGCCGCAGCTCCCAAGCCCGCCAGGAACGGATCCTCACCAATCGACTCGAAGCCACGTCCACCGAGAGGGGAGCGTTGCATGTTGATAGTCGGGCCGAGGATCACATGCGCACTCTTAGCGATGGCCTCTTTGCCCATCATCTTACCTGCCTCTTCGAGCAGAGTTTGGTTGAATGTGGAACCGAGCGACGTGCCGCAAGGGAAGCAGGCCGCAGGGACGCCATTGAAGAACTTGGTCCCTCTTACGCCGTTGGGGCCATCTGTAAAGCGGAGAGAGGGGACTCCATGCTTGGGGAGAGCCTTTGTGTGCCAGAAGTCGATACCTTGTTCAGTCAGACAATGATTCGATATAGGGAGCCAGATTGAATGTTCGGTCATTGCTATGTAGATTTTGGGACATGGCGTAAATGAACAACTATCAAATAGCGTGACAACTCACCAGCCAGCAGATCGACCTTCTCGGCCAGGGTGAGCTTCTTCAAGATGGCCTCAACATCAATATCAGCCATGATGGAAGGACTGGATGACAAGGCAAGGGTCGGGTGAATAGAACTCTCGGTGAGGGGATCTTTGGAGATAGAAGAATATGCTGCTCTATATGGCGACGCGGATGCTCAAGCAGGATATCAAGGGTTCAAAACCACTGCAGGGTAGACCTTGGACACACCAGAGCAACGAAGGGGGGACAAAGTGACCGAACCTAGCGTCACTGAAGCACTAAGAGGAGACAGACAACAGGGAGATGAGGATGAGGAGGCCAACGGCAGATAGACATCAGGCACAGGAACGGGACAAGCAGCTTATATAGCCGTCGGTCAGACTGGACGGATGCGTGGGCTCTCCATCTTTGCCAAGGGTAGTCGTGAGAACTTCGGAAGATACTGTATAGCAAATAGGCAGATGTATGTAGCAGCTCCTCTTCTGTGCTCTCGCTCGCGGACTTACTCTCTCCTCTCGGCAGGCATTGTCGCGATCCCAGCAGCTGCAGGATTCTCCGAAAGCTGCGCCCTCTCTGGTAGGAATCAATCACGAGGAACAAACCGTCTCCAGATTGGACGAGTTTCCCCGCGATCATCCCCGCCATCAGGTTTGAGCTAACAGGGTTCAGCCGTGCTTTAACCGGCATTAAGCCGATGAGCCAGAGTTCTGCCGCGATTAAGGCAGAATCCTGTCCAATCGGTGTTTGCTATCAGTCAATCAACCCGCCAAAAGAATTGGAGAAGATCGGGGTCCAACTCCACACAAGCTCAGCATGGACAAGTTCAGCCTTCTTGGCTTCGGTGAGGTATGAGCGACACTCCCCGATGCCCCCTCGAAGGCCCTCGAGATCATGTGGGCGATTCTCAATGTCTGTGGTTCAGACCAAAGCAGTTCGATTCCGTCCTGAGGCGGATAAACGCCGTAGCGAACGTCGAGCACGGACGGATATCGTCGACCAGACTCCACCCTCAGAGTCGGATGAAGGAGGAAGACGATCCTGCAGGAGCCGAGACCCGGCTTTCGGGACGCCTCTGCATGTTTCCACCCGGGAGCCGGTAGGATCTTGCCGCGATGGGGAACGTTGAGAGCGGTAGTGTCGGACTTGGTGGAGCTGGTGAAGCTGATACGTGGATATGCCATGGCCGTTGCCGCCG